GCCCTGTTTTTCACAACCAAATTCAAACAGACATTTTCAGTTAATGGATTTATCTATTATATTGTCATATTAGTTTTATTATATTCACCACAATGTAACAATAGAAAAAGAGGAAGATCATAATGCAAAAAAGCTCCATGGAACACAGGCATTATTTTCTGATTACAAAAATAAAAAGTTACACATACTCCTCAGCTCTGACAAATCCTCCCCTGCTGCTGGAAAAATAAATGTTGAAGTCTCCACGAGGCATTCCGTCTGAACAATTACGCGGCATTAAGCTGAAAATCAACAGAAAATTCCTTCATAAACTAATACTTTGTACACTTTAATAAGACATCATTATGTACACAAAGATTTTTTTTAAGTGTCTTTATAATAACAATTAATGCGAGACTATCATGTTAAGTCTGCTGTAATGAACAATTAAAATGCATTTGTCCAACACATTATTTTATCACCAGGTTGCATAACAATATGTATAGTCTAGACACACTTATTTACCATGAAACTGGGCATTGTTTATTTGTTGCCTTTACTATATTACCATTTTCTTCTCATTAAGATGCAGCAATAGGAAATACTGTCATATTAACTATTTTACCCCAAAACTTTGAAGGATCTCATATATCCTCAAGTATTCTAGCCTATTAGGAACATATTATCTGTGACTGCTTTCCTCACGCCACTGCCCGGACTCTATGACTAATGCTTTAAACAAAAAAGTGAAAACATGATTTTTCTTTAGCGAATAACGAAAATTCACATCTAAATGTGTCGTGTTTCACAACTCAACTTAGGCTGTATAACATATGTAACTTAAAGCCTGCAAATAAAAGCTTACATACGAATCAACAAGTTTTAATATGGTAAACCAATCGGAAATCTATCGATTATGCAACGTGGATCTCTTGATAGCACGAAGTGTCACTGTTATTCTGTTGGGTGGCAGCATCACTTGTTTTAGAAGCAGTAAATGTTATAGTTTATTCAGAATTGATTTCAGAAAGTGTAAGGCAGCATCCAATGTATTTATCCCCTACTAATTCAGGTCATACCTATGTGGGTTGTAATATTCATTAAAAGCATCTATTTGCACAATACTACTCTGCTAGAGAAACAAACAAACGCACCATCATCTTACCAAATTGGATAATTCGAGTTCAGGGAGCAGCTCTTCTCGTCGGTCGGGATGCCTTCTCAAAATGACCTGTTCCTTAGCTCTGTGTTTCTTCCCTCCTCGGTTTGCCGGAGAACAGAGAGGGGCAGAACACCCTCATGACCGTCACGGGATAGAGGCTCATGGATAAACCCATTGAAGTAGAGTAATTACCGTGAAACCCCGCGGTCCTGAACGCAACATTATTATCCACACGTGGAACTACAGGCGTCAGCTGCTGGCTTTTCATATGTGGGTGTCTGTGTGTGTGCTATTGTTGTTCCCACTTACCCTAATCCATGAGTTACAGTCAATGTATCTACTCTGTAAATAATAGATTACAAAATTGGTCGAGGATAGCATGCTAAAGGTGCCTTGGAAATATTATGGTTGTATAGAAAAGAAGAAAAAAAAGTTCCATAAGAAATATCAGTTGATATAAGCTTCTTATCATAATCGTATAGCAAAGTAGAAACTCTATGAATATTTCAACTGGTATATTATAACTGAGGACATTACTAATAATGTGTGTAACATGTGAAACCACAAGATGTGTCTATACCAGTGGTTCTCAAAGTGGGGGGCAGAGGCATGCCAGGGGGGGCGCGAGAGACCAGGAGGAAAAATGGTTATACAAAATAAAATAAAAGTACTATTACGTCTGGGTCTCTGTGTTTCATTAAAGCTCGGCTCTGTGTGTGTGTGTGTGTGTGTGTGTGTGTGTGTGTGTGTGTGTGTGTGTGTGTGTGTGTGTGTGTGTGTGTGTGTGTGTGTGTGTGTGTGTGTGTGTGTGTGTGTGTGTGTGTGTGTGTGTGTGTGTGTGTGTGTGTGTGTGTGTGTGTGTGTGTGTGTGTGTGTGTGTGTGGAACGAGCCATGTTGTGTGCACGAGCGAGCGAGAGAGAGAGAGCGCGCACCGGTACTGGAGATCGTTGTTGTTAGCTTCTGGTGCTAGCGAGCTACGCTAACGGATATAAGGAGTTTTTTCAACAACAAAGTGGAGGAGAGTCCTCTCCTGTCTGTCAGACTGAGAGACTCAGTGAACTAAAGCAGTGGTTCCCAACCTTTATTGTGCCAAGGACCGGCAGATCCATACAAAAAAAATCGCGGACCGGTTGTCAATTTTAACTGATTTTAATATTTACTCACCACCAGCAGGTATAGCAACAGAGGCTAATTGTATGTAACAGCCTGAACAAATACTATAACAATATGCATCCAAAACATTAACAACGTTTAAAAAAGAACCGGTGTCGTTTTTTGGTTTTTCGGAAAAACGGAAAACCAAAAATCCGACGTTATTCAGTTTTTAAACCAAAACGGGAAAACAGATAAATCAACGTTTTGGTTTTGTTTGTATGCTTTACGGATAATCCAGTGATGGGAAAACGAGGAAAAGGCGCATTATGAAGGAGATGTCCGGTCGCCAGGGTGTGTGTGTGTGTGTGTGTGTGTGTGTGTGTGTGTGTGTGTGTGTGTGTGTGTGTGTGTGTGTGTGTGTGTGTGTGTGTGTGTGTGTGTGTGTGTGTGTGTGTGTGTGTGTGTGTGTGTGTGTGTGTGACACTGACATTTGTTTTCAGAAGATATTATGATAGTCGTTCGTTCCGGTGCACTCCGACAGCATTTAGCACTATATCGAGATTAAGAATAAAGATTAAACTTCTTTTGGGAACACCCGTATATGGAGTTAGCCAGATGTGTGTAAATTACTGTTCATGGTCATTTGAAAACAAATGCCGGTGTCGGGCAGACACGAACACACAGAGCTGAGCAGAGCACACACACACGCACACACACACGCACACACACACACTGAGCCTGACTTGTGTTGGGGGGGCCCGACTTTTTTTTTCTCCAAAGGGGGGGCCTGACAGAAAAAGTCTAGACGTTGTCACTAATTTACGAATAAGACCAAAACTTCTCATCAACATTTCTGTTGCTTTTTAAATGTGGTTAAATGTTTTCATGGATGTATCGCTGTAGGGTCACCAGTCAACAAACTACAAGGATTTTCCTATAGGGAGCAGTTTTGTGATATTTAAATCAAATACAAATAAAAGTAATCTTTTAAGAAAAATGGGAGCTCAGGGTTGTGTCTTTGTTGTGAACAAACAGGAACAAAATGTAGGAGGAAAGAATGATTTTTATGATTCAACTGTAGGAGCTCTATAGCACAAGCCCTGAAGGCATCCTTAATAGTCTCAGATAAGAGTCAAATGGTCCATTACGCTCTTTAATAACAAATAAAAGAAGTATTATTTCTCAATGAATCACCCTATTGATCTTGAATAAAACTTAATCCAGATTAAAATTCAGAGTTTAAATATTTGTTTTTACAGTTGATAATCTTTTTTAATTTGTTTGTTTATTTGTTTACATCATCACACGTTACTGCAAAGATATTTTCATCACATTATCAAAATGGAAAGTGTGACAGTTTGAAAAGGGTTAACTGGAAGGTAGAACAACTTGGTTGACTATGCAAAATAACTTACAATTATCCCCACAAGAGGGAGACCAAAACCTGTTTATAAAATTCAGTCAGTTTTGTCTCAAGCTGTAATTACTATTTCAATGCTTATCAAGTAGGCCTACATGTTGGCCTACTAGATAGAATACATTTATGAATATTTCCAGCTGATTCCCTTTTTGCTATACCTCTACATCCCTGAACAGTTTGGATAGATGCAAGAAAGCCTAACTTTAGCAGCTTTGTGTAATGCTTGGTCAGTTGTTTTGTGGGCAGCAGTCAGCTGATGTTTGTTGTGATGACAAGCCTACATACTTCACTTCTCATTAGAAATTACAGGCAACAATTTTAAAAGTGAACAGCATCTGACCAGAAAATAACATATAATGACACGTTCCCCCCAGTTGGCGCAGTATAATATGGCAAAGGACATTTAGTCGTGCTGGCCAAAGCTTTAAAGCGTCAGATATAAACTTCACCAATATCAGAATTAGAATACCTTTATTAGTCCCACGGAGGGGACATTTGCGTAGTTACAGCAGGAAAAAGAGCCACAGACAGCTTAATGTTACATATGTTACATATGTTACATATGTTACATGCATTAAAAAAAAGTACTAAGTTAAGATATAATAAAAAATATAATAATAAAAAAAAAAAAGTTACATAATTTTCAAAATACACATCATGTAACAGTTCTTAGGATTTAGCAGCCAAGTATATTACACAGTTATTAACGGCACATATAGCACGTATATTGCACATTATATGATACTAAACCTGAAAAAGACAATTTAATCAGAATTACAAATACTTTTATTGATCCCTGGGGGGAAAGTGGGTTAGGTTATAGTTAATCTCATTGTATATACATATATAAGCACTGAGAAATTAATAGATACATATGAATGAGAAATAGGTATGTGCATATGACAATATCACAGTGTATAATAATGCTAAAATATGTCTATAATTGCTACCATGCAGTAGTGGTCTATAAAATACGTTGAAAAGTGCAGTATTAATACAATAATAATATCACATTTGAATTATTATTATTATTACATAGTACATTTTTGTACACAACAATTGTACTTTTAAGTCAGTTGGGCAGAGTTGAAGATATACATCATGATGGGGTTATAGCTGCTGACTGGAAGGCACATCAATAACGGTATTTCATTATTTGACATGTATAATACTGTCTTTAAATCTGTGTACCATTTTAATAACATTAAATGGATCCAGGAGGTACTTGCTAGCAGTTGTCAATGGTCACCAATGTTTATTATCCCGGCTCCTCACCGGTTGAGGGAGTTATTCCCTTTACCGGTTCTTCCGGTCGGCATTTTGAGAGAGAGAAAGAGAGACAGAGAAAGAGAGGAAGAGAGAGAGAGGTAGGGGCTAGACAATGTGGATCCCCCTTTTCGCTGTCCCTCGATTGTTTTCATTCCCGAAAATAAACTCGCTAACACAACACCCAGCGTCTGATAAACTAGTCATCTGAATTTGAGAGGATGCTCCCCAGCTCCCAGCAGATGTACATGCTCACCGTGAGAGAGAAGAGAAGCCCCCGGTCCTCCCGACAGGGATCACTGCCGTTGTGTTAGCTGTTAACCGAAGGAGCTGTTTGAACGGTGGGACGGAGAGGGAGCTAGAGACTCTTCTCCAGCTGCCATCCTACTCCTGCTCCTCCCCCTCCCCCCTCCTCCTCCTACACCACCAGAACCACTTCTCTTTCTCATCACATCCAGAGGTAAATAAGCCAGATTCAACAATAACAACCTCTATTCAGAGAAATCGTTCACCTTCCCCGAGTGTTTCCGGTTTGTCAGACACTCTCGGGCAGCCGTTGGTAACCGTTACCGGGATCAGCTAAAGGCGATCTGATTTGTGATGGGGTCTTTGCTTTGTACCCCTGCCTCCCTGGCGTCGGGTCGGGGTTACGCTTCCTAAGGCAAGTCCGAGGTCCACTTTGTGAGCTAGAGATGCGTCAGGGAAGGCCATAGTAAGTGTGAGGTGGAAATTTAAACCCATACACGACCTGCACGGTAAAGAAAAGAGCGTTACAGAGTATGCTAACCGGGTTTGATGCACTCCCGGTGATGCTAGCTTAACGTTAAGCAAGTTACAGCACCTTTCCAGTTAGCATACGTTAGCTAACTACATCTCCAGTCGCTGCTAATCGGCTAACCCCGAGTTGATTTAGTCACTTTAATAAACTTAGCTATGATGCTAGTTCTCTTAGCAAGTGTCTACAATGACAAGAAAATAAGAAATGAGTAATAATACCGTCATATGTGGGGATAAGATAAGCTAATGTTGCTGTTGTGTGTTTGGTCAGCCCCGGAAACCTTAACTGATACTGTAACAAAAGAAATAATTTTAGCCTAAACTACGAGGTTTTTTGAAATACGTTTGCTAGTAGACTTCATGTTTACGTCAATAAATAAAAACTCAGACTAGCTGACGTTTTACGTTGGAGACAGAAAGAGTGAGACAGAATCGTTGTAACTTTTTTTTAATCCTTAATTCTACCAGATAGCTAGCTATGTTTGTCACCACTGCATTGCACGACATCTGTATGAGAGCTAATATTGTTAATTGTATGTTTCTTTAGTTATGTAATGTTTGACTTAAGTTGGAATATCACAGGTAAAAAATAATACACACACTCAAGCTGTGAATGCAAAGTGGAAGAATGACCAGCAGGGGACAAGATGGTTTGGCCATAAGAAGCTGCCTTTAATCAATAACTTGTAAGGCATGCCCAGGCTTGCTATAAGGCTTCTATAAACTGTCTACGTCAGAGATGCAGTTATGTTGGCAGTTTAATAATGCACACTCATAAGCTGACACATCCCTAAAAGAAGCACACTATAGCTATATGGGGAAATATTAATTCTCATACTCCTATCATGAACAGTGTTCATGATAGGAGGGTATCAATGCAATGGCATCGATACCTTCATGGTAGTGAACATTCTTTAAAAGTGTGTGTTGCCATTTTTTTGTTTTGTCTCCGCAGCCTTTGGAGATGTGAGGAATAGAAAGAGATTGGTGATATTGAGCAGCCTGTGCATTGACACGACCTCTTGACCTCATCTTCAGCATGAATGGTGATATGCCTCATGTTCCCATCACTACTCTTGCTGGAATTGCTAGCCTGACAGACTGTAAGTGCAACATCATCTCTCACTAATGCTGTCCACACAGCCTAAATACTAACATTTTAACCAAGTTATGGCCAGGTTAAGGAATTATTGACTGCCAAAATGTTACTATGTGAAGTCTTCTTGGGCTTCTAGTATAATGTGTAGTTATACTGGAAGCTAAATACTGGTAATTATGATGTTTTCACTACTGCTGATTTCAGGGCAGACAGGAGTGAAGTGGCTTATGTTCCTAAAAAAGGGAAGTTGTAGTCTTACAGACAAAGATATCATAGCCCTTTCATATTTGATTGTAATAGATTGTAAAAATCGAACTTGTTCAATGTAGAGGTTGATGGACCTTTATTTCTTTCATTAACTTTCAATATAATGCTACCATATATTGATGGCTTTTTGATTACAAAGATAGACAGAACTTAAAAAAATGTATTCTGAGGCCTTTAGTAAACGGATTAGAGATGTTAAAACCCCAACATTAAATCCTTTACTTTTTATTTTAGCTTAAATATATCAAGCTTAAATAAGCATACCCAAAATGTACTTTCTTAAAAAAAAATTAAAGTGTATCATAGTCATTTGGCAATACTATCAAATAGTTGCATGGTCTACTAATACTTTTCCTAAACCTTTTTTCTTTGATATCTTTCCCATCTTTCTTTCTTTTTATTTCCAACGAACCTAACTAGTCTGTGTATCATCCTTTTAGTGTTGAACCAGCTGCCCTTGCCTTCTCCTCTCCCTGCCACCACCGCTAAGAGTCTGCTCTACAATGGAAGGATCTCCGAAGAGGTCAGCAACCTCCTGGTGTGCCGGGACGAGAATCTGGTGACTCAGCTGGCCCATAGCCTCAACCAGGTCTCCACTGAACACATGTAAGTGCCAATCACTGATGTTTCACAACATCTTTTAATCATTTAAATTGAATAGACAAAAGCTTGCCAGTAGCTACTACAGTAGGTTTGTAAAAGTGTGATTTAAAAAATGGTTTACTAGTTAAATCACTAGTTTAACCTGCACAGGGAATGTAAATTGAGGCTGGAAGGAATCAGATTGCATTACTCAATACTGCATTTAGGCCTAGTGTGCAGCTATTTCCTGCAATATGACTGTGTGCTATATTATTGTTTGCTTTTCAGAGAGTTGAAAGACAACTTGGGGAATGATGAACCTGAGGGTGACATGCCAGCGCTTCTACAAACTCTGCTGTCCAGGAACCCCAAAATATTTGGGGACAAAAGTATGCCAAGTCATTACATTACTCAGTACTCTTGTTTTTTTTTTAATATGACTAGTTACAGCTAGGTAGGTACACACAAGGACTTCCTGTGTCAGATGCACTACTTTGGTGATTTTCTAACAACAGGGGCAGAAGTATTGCAAGAGGAAAAAAATTCTTATTTCTATGGCTGAACTAACTCTTAAAAATGTGTAATGGACGGAGGTGAAATCTTTTTTTGGCCTCTGGGAATAAAGCATCTCATCCTGTCCCACTTAGTATAGATAAAACAGCTTGTTAGATAAAGTTATTTCATTAGACATTTTAAGTAATAGTTGTTTAAGTATAGCACTTGTCACACCATTTTTAGCAACACAAAAATATTTACTAATAAACCAATACACAGCTCTTAAAGGCTTAGCTGTGTTTGTTTTGTCATCATAGATTAAATGACTAATTGCCATAAATAGTTGAACATTTCTCTTTTAACCTTTGTTCAGGGAAGCCTTCTAGTTTTATAAGCAGCTGCACTAGACTGCAATTACGGTTGATTATAATTACATAGTTTTCATGCCCACTTTCATACTAAATCATTATTTGAAGAGAAAAAATTAGGGATGCTCCGATCGCCAATTTTGGGGCCGATCGCCGGAATCAGTATCGGCCGATAGCGATCGCCGATCCGATCAAGTGGGCGGGGCCTAAATGGAAGATTTAAACATCACTTTAAATCTTCCATTTAAAGTGATGTTTAAAACTCAGTTAATGGGGCTCATTCACTGGAGCTTCCACAAACAACAATCAACTTAATTATTACATTCAAATGATGTACATTATTCAAGTTTACATTCACTTTGGATAATAACACGGGAGAAATGAGCGGAAGCGCTCTATTTTCCTCTCTCTCTCTCCCTCCTGACAGCCTGTCAGTATATCATGCAGCTCACTGATCCAGTAATGGGTGACCCGACAGTGAAGAATAAATATATTTATAATAACTAGTTTAGCTTGTTCCAGAGGTAGATCAAATAGCTAAGTAGGTCTAACTCTTGTGTGTTTTGCTCCGCTCACCGGTCCGTCACAGCGGGTGGAGCTGCAGGATTTCTGCTTCACACACGTTGCATACCGCTATTTTACTGTCTTTTTCGGACACCTTGAAATACTGCCAGACCGGTGAAGCCATTTTGGCGAGCTTGTTTTGCCGCACACAGAGAAAAGTGTCATGTATTTTACGTCATGCGATCGGCATGTTTAGAGAGCACCGATCGATCGGGAGAGAGTGAGTATCGGCCGATCTCGATCGGTGACCGATCGATCGGAGCATCCCTAGAAAAAATACAGAAAAGCTGTGTGCACAGTGTGAACTAAACAGCTTGTGTATGACTGAAATCTTGATTACTTCTTATTTTTTACAAATGTACACAGATTTACCAGTTGACTGTGTATACATGTAATTGTTTTCCCAAACCATTACTGCAACAAATCCTATATTTTACTTTCTTTAAAGCTTTAGTGTCATCCTGGCACTGATCTTGATTTAACTAAAGTAATTGATGACGCTGCATATGATGGGGGTGTTATGACATTGTTTGGTGTAGAGTACATAGGGTTTGGTTTAGTTATTTCACTTTTGATGTTGTTAAATCTGAGCTGCCATGTTTCAAGAAGTGTTTATGTTATCAAATATGTAACCCTATATTACTGAGTTGCTATTCCTGAGGTATGTTGGCGAGTTTTGTTGCTGTGGAATTGTGCATATTCAGCTCATTGTTTGAACCAACGTTTTGTTTTCAATTCCTATCTCGTAGGTGTAATGCAACAGCCAATGGTGCAACAGTTTAAGATTTCTCAAAACCAGGTGCATGGGAGTCCAGGATCAAACTATCAGCAATCTCAGAGCCCAGCTGGGTAAGGCCTAGCCGGCATTCAGTCAGATGATGAAGATGTAGAAGTATCTGTATTTATAACAAGAGTACTTCTTCCTCCTTTGCAGATGTTTTGCATCGCCACAATCTGGATCAGGTGCTCGGTTCGTCCCCCAGCAGAACAGCCCTATACCCAGTCCCTACACCCCCCAGAGTCCTGCAGACTACATGCAGTACAATCCACCCAGTTATTCCCAACACCAACAGACCCAGCAAGGTAAGTACCAATAAAATCAAGAACATTTTAATTAGCTACCTGCCACACTTCTGCAATGGATAGCAAAAAGCAAACATTTAGATTTGAATGAACAACATAGAAAAACAGTTATTTATTTAATTTATTTTGTACACTTATTTGTATTCCAAGTCAAGGTGGAAACAATTCAACAAGAAAAGTACTGTGCATTCCCATTTTGATTTACCACATTTATTCATTTTATACTTAAGCATTCTGCCTGAAACAGGAAGTGTTTTGCAAGAGACTACAGAACAAATAGTACTTAGTCAAGGTGTGGCTCTGAGGCGGTGATCACACATTTCCCCCCCAGTACATACCTTTTAAAGTCCACCCACTATTCTTTGAAGGAAAACCCTTGTACAATTACACTGCCATTTCCTTAATATCTTTCATTTTTGTAAAGCACTTTGAATTTCCTTGTGTTGAAAGGTGCTATATATAAATAAACTTGCACCAACTAGATGGTGTTTCTTCTTTCGTCGTGGTCAAAATGCTTATACTGTAACTTCACTTCTCACATTTATTAAACCATGGTTTCTGTGGTTCTTAAATTCAATTATCTGAAATTCAGGCACAAAGAAGTAAAATTGAGGTTTTCCAAGACGCTTAGAATTTACTTCAAATATTAATATAATGGTCTAACCCTCATTGCTCTTGAGTTCTCTATCGTATATCTAAAAAGGGAAAAGGACAGAGACAAAATGACACAAACAAATCTTTAAAAATGTGATTAGATTAGGTCCAAATAGGTTTTGAAAGTCGTGAATTAACTTGTTGAAACCTGTGGTAAGCCATTTGCACGTCACAAATGATTAACCTGGAGATTTTCTTACGCTCTCTGTTTCAGTTCGAACCATCCATGACAACAAGGTCTCTGGTCAGCTGTCAGGTACTTCATCTAATCATAATGCGAGACTAGGCTCAGATGAGGACTACATCCACATGGCCCACAGACTGGGGAATGAGGTAATATAGAATCAAACTACCTGACCTACAATTAGAAGACGCTGACTGATAAACGTGATGCTAAATGTCTTGTGTTCCCACAGGTAAATGACCCCTCCATGAGGGCCTTTCAAGTGAAATCCCCACAGTCTGTGTGTTCCCCTGCTGGGAGTGAAGAGGCTGCAAAAAGTATGATCAATTCTTCTTCTTCTTCTTCTAAAAAAAAAAGACAAAATCTTAGCTAGCTTAACCTTAAATATATTTGTGTTTAACCAGGGTCCAGGCCTCCCCTCATCATGCAGTCTCCTCCCCCCGATGGGCCCCCAGGTGCAGCAGCTGACGTGCTCCTCAGCTCCGGGGACCGCAAAAAGAAGCAGAAGGAAAGGAGTAGAGAAGAAAATGAGCACACGGAAAAAAATCTCTCGTACGACATTGTCAGTTCTCCCTCTAAACAGTCCGCCAAGCTTACTATAAAACTGTCCCGCATGAAGTATTCCGACTTGGATGAACCTGAAGAACATCCTACGAGGTCACGGGTCGACTCAGACCGTGAAACTGATTTGATGTATAATAACATTAATCAGTTGTCAAGGTCTGCACAGGACTTGTCACACAAGTTAGGCGCTGAGGAGCAGGCCAACTGTCAGCAGATTCCTGTTCGGCCAATCACTAAGGAGTCCGGAGGCGTCAGCGGGGTCGTGTTTGATGACGCTGAGATGGACACACTAACGGAGATCGAGAGAATAGACCGCGAGTCGGCCAGCGAGAGAGAAAGGTGGTCTAAAGAAGTTCAGGATAAAGGTAATGTTCGTCCGCCTTTGCCCTGTTCTTTCTGATTCTTCCATGACCTACATCTGTTTGTAGAAGATCTCATTTTCATCTTTTTTTTATATCACAGATAAGCCACTGAAGAAACGAAAGCAAGACTCATATCCTCAGGAATCCGGAGCTGAGTCCAATGAAGGGCCCGCTGTACAAGTGTGCAACGCTGACAGCAAGTTGACACCCAAGAAGACGAATGCTGCGAGTAACGGAGCCGGTCGGCCTGCTTTGATGGTCAGTATTGATCTGCAGCAAGCTGGCAGAATGATAAGACAGCCTGTCGTGGTCTTGGAAGCACAGAAGATGTGTGACGACCACGTACTGCACATCAATTCAAAGAATGATGCAATCGCAGATAAAGTTGTTGAAAACGCAGATAAAGTTGTTGAAAACGCAGATAAAGTTGTTGAAAACAGACCTGGGATCATCAAACAGCATACTGACAGCACCAGGAAGTCTGGCTCAGAGGGGCAACCTGTAACCCCCAAACAGAAGCAGGAAAGTCGACGCGATTCCAAACACAGACATGACGATAAAAAAACAGTCAGTGGCAAGGGACATGTCGACAAACAGCCAGACAAACAGCCAGACAAACAGCCAGACAAACAGCCAGACAAACTGCCAGACAAACTGCCAGACACACCGCGGCAGAAACATGACAAGCATTCAGACCCACGCCACAAAGAGGAAAATAACCACAACAGTCATCGATCCAACGTCGGCCAACCTGAGACTCCAAAAACCCCGAGCAAGGCAGAGCGTAACTCCAAACATGGAGAAGACAAAGTCAAGGAAAAAGATAGGGATAAAGATAACGAAAAGGAAAAAAATATAGATAAAGAAAAAGATAGAGATAGGGATAAGGTTAGAGAACGAAAAAAAGAAAGAAATAAAGAAAGAGAAAAGGATAAGGTACGAGATAAAGATAGAGATAAGGAAAAAGACAGAGATAAAGAAACTGATAAAGAAACTGACAGAGATAAAGAAACGGACATAAATAAAGAGAAAGATAAGGAAAGAGACAAAGAGAGAGATAAGGACGGAGTTAAAGACAAAGAGAGAGATAAGGACGGAGTTAAAGACAAAGAGAGAGATAAGGACGGAGTTAAAGACAAAGAGAGAGATAAGGACGGAGTTAAAGACAAAGAGAGAGATAAGGACGGAGTTAAAGACAAAGAGAGAGATAAGGACGGAGTTAAAGACAAAGAGAGAGATAAGGACAGGGTTAAAGACAAAGAGAGGGAAAGGAAGCACAAAATGTCGAGGGAAAACTGCAACCGACCCTCTCCTGACGGGCATACTAAACCTGAGAGCCCGAGAGTGAAGCAGGACGGTAGCAGAAAATCTGCTGACCTCAATGGACGACAGAGGAAAGAGAGTTCCGGCCCTCAAAACTCCCAAAATAAGAAGGAGAGGAAAAGTGGGGAGGGAGTCGTTACTGGCCAAGCTGGAAACAAACAGCAGGCTGTGGAGGCCAAACCCAGCGAATTCCCCGCTTACCTGCTGGGGGGCAAGTCCACTCTGAAGAACTTTGTGATCCCTAAATTGAAACGCGATGTGAAAGAGAAAGACCCCCAACTCCTGAGCAAACTGACAGAGAGCGAGCCCCTGGTCCGGCTGGAGAGAGTGTCGTTGGTGGAGAGTTTAAACAAGGGAGCCAAACCCCTCGTGGTGCTCAACAAACTCAGCATCGCTGAAGTCAAAACCATCATCAAGGAAAGCAGGAATTCACACAAATCCAAGACCTCAGGGAAAGGTACGATTTACTTTGAAATATGTACAATGGGCCCAGTTTCCAGATTGTGTATTTCCTTCACACCACTATCAGTATTATTATCACAGTCTTTAATGACTCAGTAACTGATTGTATTTTCTTTTAAAGTACAGATGTGTCTGTGCAGGAAACTAACTCATCTCTTGTTTTTACAGAAATGTCTTCTGCTGAGAAGACAAACAAGCGGAATCACAGTTTGATCAGTAAGAAATCCAAGTACGCTGAGTCGGATGATGATGAAGAAGATGACAAAGAAGAAGATGAAGATTACTCTGAAAATGAGTGTTAGTATTTAACCTAAGATTTTTTTATTTTTGTACACACCACAAAATAAGTCAAAAAGCACTTCTTATACTAAATAAATCGAAGAAGAATAAAAATATACAGTGGGGCAAAAAAGTATTTAGTCAGCCACCAATTGTGCAAAAAAAAGAATTTATTTGCAAATGATGGTGGAAAATAAGTATTTGGTCAATAACAAAAGTTCATCTCAATACTTTGTTATATACCCTTTGTTGGCAATGACAGAGGTCAAACGTTTTCTGTAAGTCTTCACAAGGTTTTCACACACTGTTGCTGGTATTTTGGCCCATTCCTCCATGCAGATCTCTAGAGCAGTGATGTTTTGGGGCTGTCGCTGGGCAACACGGACTTTCAACTCCCTCCAAAGATTTTCTATGGGGTTGAGATCTGGAGACTGGCTAGGCCACTCCAGGACCTTGAAATGCTTCTTACGAAGCCACTCCTTCGTTGCCCGGGCGGTGTGTTTGGGATCATTGTCATGCTGAAAGACCCAGCCACGTTTCATCTTCAATGCCCTTGCTGATGGAAGGAGGTTGTCACTCAAAATCTCACGATACATGGCCCCATTCATTCTTTCCTTTACACCAGGGGTGGGGAACCTCCGGCTTCCGGGCCGTATACGGTCCGCGAGACAATTTGGTACGGCCCTCGAGGTAATTTATAAACACACGCAAAAAAGAAAAAAATGTAAGAAATCTAGACCGCAAAAAAATTAAACAAGCGAGTACCTGTTTTTCCTGGCCAAGGTCAGGGTCCTTGAACACAACACGAGCCTAACGTGTCATCACGTGGTATATGTCTCGACTGACAGGGGTGCAGTTCTGACTGAGAGCACCAGAACGCCACTCCAGCACTTCAGAAATTGCAGTACCGATAAGGAGCCTTACACATGCTGCAGTTTCTGCGTGTCTGTGTCTTTAGTTGAAAGCCCAGTGGCGATCTGTTCATCTGTCATACTGATACAGTCAATAACTTTGTTGTTATTATCATCTGGTTAGCTAGCTATGCTAACAAATATAAGATGCTTTTTCTACAACCAGTGAGGTAAAGGCACATCTTTATATGATCATTATAGTTATAAAAAAATAAGAGAATAAAGTGTAGGTTTAACAGGTATAAAATACTATATGACAGTAAAAAAAAGTTGTTATTAATAAAGAAGAATACAGTTTGAGAGGGGAGTGATTTGTCAAATATTCATAAAGAAAAAAAAATCTGCTTCCAGTTCTGTTTCATATGGGTGTTGAGAGATGTATCCATAGATCTCCTAATTTTGCTCTCAAAGTGCACCAGGTTGATGCTTTTAACTTCAACATTTAAAAAAAAAATCTTCCCGGGGGAGCATGCCCCCCGGACCCCCCTAGAGGAGGTTAGGTCCCCCCCCCCCCCACTTAAATCATGTTCACATGGATAGGAAACTAAATACATTTGCACACATCTTGTATCCATATCTTTCTGTTTTGGTGGTCACGCCACACCGTGCACGTGCATGCATACGCGAGTCATGGTGAGATATCTGGATTAAGAGGTTGCTTTTTCTTTGCACAGAACGAAATGAATGGGCTGTGATTTTAGTTTTTTTAAGCAGAGGTCAATAATTTGTACGGCCCTCTGAGGATATTGTAAACATTGAAATGGCCCTTGAGAGGAAAAAGGTTCCCCACCCCTGCTTTACACGGATCAGTGGTCCTGGTCCCTTTGCAGAAAAACAGCCCCAAAGCATGATGTTTCCACCCCCATGTTTCACAGTAGGTATGGTGTTCTTTGGATGCAACTCAGCATTCTTTCTCCTCCAAACACGTCTAGTTGAGTTTTTACCAAAAAGTTCTATTGTGGTTTCATCTGACCATATGACATTCTCCCAATCCTCTTCTGGATCATCTAAATGCTCTCTAGCAAACTTCAGACGGGCCTGGACATGTACTGGCTTAAGCAGGGGGACACGTCTGGCACTGTAGGATTTGAGTCCCTGGCGGCGTAGTGTGTTACTGATGGTAGCCTTTGTTACTTTGGCCCCAGCTCTCTGCAGGTCATTGACTAGGTCCCCCCGTGTGGTTCTGGGATTTTTGCTCACCGTTCTTGTGATCCTTTTGACCCCACGGGGTGAGATCTTGCGTGGAGCCCCAGATCGAGGGAGATTATCAGTGGTCTTGTATGTCTTCCATTTTCTAATAATTGCTCCCACAGTTGATTTCTTCACACCAAGCTGCTTACCTATTGCAGATTCAGTCTTCCCAGCCTGGTGCAGGTCTACAATTTTGTTTCTGGTGTCCTTTGACAGCTCTTTGGTCTTGGCCATAGTGAAGTTTGGAGTGTGACTGTTTGAGGTTGTGGACAGGTGTCTTTTATACTGATAACGAGTTCAAACAGGTGCCATTAATACAGTTAACGAGTGGAGGACAGAGGAGGCTCTTAAAGAAGAAGTTACAGGTTTGTGAGAGGCAGACATCTTGTTTGTTTGTAGGTGACCAAATACTTATTTTACAGAGGAATTTACCAATTCATTCATTAAAAATCCTACAATGTGATTTCCTGGATTCTTTCCCCCCATTCTGTCTCTCATAGTTGAAGTGTACCTAGGATGAAAATTACAGGCCTCTCATATTTTTAAGTGGGAGAACTTGCACAATTGGTGGCTGACTAAATACTTTGTTGCCCCACTGTATATAACAAAATAAAAAGCACTAATTATGCTAGAATATTGTTTACAAATACCCTAGTTTTTAAGATTTAACCCAAAAAAAAAAGCGGAGATGTTTTGATTAGAATTATTGCAGCTATTGAGCAACAATTGGAGCTTAAATTACTTGATATTTTCTGACCTATCTTTCCTGGGTTCTGTGTTTTTCTTGTTACAGCTCCAAAGAAAAGGTCTAAGAAAAGTCACGACAAACCATCTAAGTCTGAAAAGAGGGCGGGCTCTGGAGAGCACCGGCGAAGTAGCGGTTCCCACGCTGCCCGTCGGGGGTCCGGTGGCCGCAGCCGTGAACTGAGTGAATCAGAAGAAGGCAGCCCAACTCCAAGCCTGAGTGATTGTGAGTTTATTTTCCACAAGCTTAATATAAATAGATACAATTATAAAGGGTTTTTTGTTAAGTATCTCTAAGAAGACAACATGAATTTACCTTACACAACATACACTTGTGTAGGTCAATGCAAATCGTGATTGCCGTGTCTGGCGGCTGTCGTTCAGATCATTGCCATCTGAAATCAATGATCCATCTGGCCAATCCCCTGGATAGTCAGATTACTGCACCAAGTCTTCCTCTAATAAATATTCAGAGCTCGAGGGTGAGCTGCTGCTGTCAAGGATTTGACAAATGTTGTTTTCCTTTTGTTCAGCTGCCAGAAAATTGAAGAAGAAGGAGAAACAGAAAAACAAGAAGGCGTATGATTCCAAGCTGACAACAGAGGGTATTCTTTCACCACGTTGATTACTTTTATACTAATGGTGCATTTTAAAGCTAAATATGTTTTTTTAATCAATTTGTTTACATTTCTTTTAACAGAAAAGATGGACTCCTCCTCATATAAGAGATTCCTGGCCAATGTGGACAGCATTCTTGAGAGCCTCGAGGATGTGGACCTCGCTGCTACAGGTGAACATTTACTGCTGCAATATTTTTATGACATTTGATGAATTGTTAAGACATTTTTTTGACTATTATAACTTTGTTCCCCTCTAACAGATGATGATGATGGCATACCTGAAGAGCTGTTGCTCGGAAAGCACCAGTTGAGTGAGCTATGCAGTGATTCCACTAAGCTCAAAGCTATGCGCATCTTTCACAAGGTAAGAGGAGTGTGTTTGTGACACCGGTTGATATTTAGCTATTGTAAGTTTGATTGAAAGTAATCATTTGTTTACTCCTTAGTTTCCGTCTGATAAACTGGTGAAATTTCTGAATATCCTGGAGAAGAACATTCAGGACAGCGTCAAACTTACCACGTTAATGAACCATGTAAGTTTACAGGCACCTATCATTTTTTTGTTGCTTACTTGATTTAACTTTTGAGCTTTTCAATAAGATTTTTTTTTGTTTCTGTAGGATAATGATTCATTGGACGAGGAGCGGTTGTGGCGTGACCTCATCATGGAGCGGGTGGCTAAGTCTGCTGATGCCTGTCTGACTGCTCTCAACATCATGACATCTCCACGCATGCCCAAGGTTGTTTACATAGAGGACGTGATTGAGAGGGTGCTGCAGTACTCCAAGTACCATCTGCAAAATTCTCTGTACCCTCAGTATGACCCCGCCTACAGAGTGGACCCCCATGGAGGTCAGCACACTTTTCTTCTTAGTTCTACAAAATCTGTGAGTGTTTTTGTGCGTGTGTTCATATAAGCTCCAATACAACTCTTTTTTCAACTCCGATTTTTCTTTGTCTTCCTCACCTAAGGTGCTGTGCACACTCCAAAGTCCAAAAGAGGAAAGGGTTCCAGCCACAAACAGAAGGTGGTGGTCATGCTCTACAACAAAGTGTGTGATATTGTCAGCAACATGTCAGAGCTGCTAGAGATCCAGCTGCTCACTGACACCACCATTCTCCAGGTGAGACTCTTTATCTGTCTGTCATCATTTCAGTTCATGACCCTGTTAAACCTTTGAGTTCTAACACACCTGATACTCTTGTTTCCCACTTTTAGGTGTCGACTCTGGGTATAACACCTTTCTTTGTGGAGAATGTCAGTGATCTGCAGTTATGCGCCATCACACTAGTGACAGCAGTAAGTCTCCATGGCATCCATTTTCGTTTTATTTCAGCAGTCAGTTTTGTGTTTTATGACACCCACACAGTGTCTTCATTTTTATGTTTTGATTCATTGCTTTGCTTTCTCTTCCTCAGGTGTTCACTCGCTACGAGAAGCACAGGCAGCTAATTCTTGAGGAGATATTCACCTCCCTGGCTAGACTGCCAACGAATAAACGGAGCCTCAGGAGCTTTAGGTTACTATATATTTAGTGAATTATATCATTAAAATAACATGAATCAACATTTTTATTATTTAAGTGCTTTGTGTTTCTCTGTAAACCTAACAGCAGTTGTTTCTCGCCCAGGCTAAACAGTGATTCAGGAGGAGATGTGTATATCCAGATGGTCACTGCACTGGTTCTTCAGCTCATCCAGTGTGTGGTTCACTTTCCAGAGAAGGACGGAGATGATGATCATAATAAGAAGGTAACCACCGCAGATTTAGAAAATACTAAAACCATATTTTTCAGAAATTATGCTTTTATTCGGAAATGATTTAACATATTGGATGCTTTTTTCTAGGTGGATAAAGATGTCTTCATCACAAACTCTTTTGAAACTGCCATGCGGACAGCTCAGAACTTCCTATCAGTTTTTCTCAAGAAGTAAGTCACTGTAGAACTTGAACACTTGTCTTTCATCGTTTTCACACTGTAAATACACTTTTGTTCAGAAACATATACAAATATGTGTCGCTATATGTGCGATATATACGATGTGCGATATATATGTGCGATATATACGATATGTGTCGCGTTTCCACTGCAGGCCTCGCTCGGTTTGGTTAGGCCTTATTAGGCCCGACTCACTTTAATGCTGCGCTTCCATTACAGTTTAGGAACTGGGGCAGTTACTATAGTAACGCAGTGTAGGCGGAGCCGTGACGTCATCTTCAATGAGAGCCCCAGAAAAACAACACAGCCGTTAGCTCTTAGCACTCAGAGCTCACAGCTCCTCATATCTGTTCAGAAACTAGACAAAACAAGTACAAACCACAGACTGCCTGTGTCATGGCGAATACAGTCGCTGGTTTATTTATGTCTGTATAGGCCGTTGTTGTGAGTGTGGACGGTCGGAGCATATATAACGTTAGCTTAGCCAAGCTACATTTAGAAAACACGCATTTTTAAAGAGTTTTTCGCCTGCCGTCTGTCTGCAGACTTGTCAAAGCATTAATTAATGGTTTTTACTAACCAGTAACCAGTATGTTGTTACTTCGGCATCATTTTGAAACGTGTATTACAATTAAATCACGGTCAAATATGTTCATCTTGTTGTAGTTGTAGCCCCCTTGCCAGCGATTCTCTCTCTAGTTTAGCATACTCAGCCCGACTCAGCCTGGTTGTTCCTGGCCCTAGAACCACGATTTTATGGGCCAGAAAAAACTGTGAATTAGGACCCGCTAGCCGGTACTAGGCCAAGTGGAAACGCAACCAAAAACGGGCCCCGCACGGCTCGGGACGCTTAAAGCAAGCTACCCGCTGCAGTGGAAACGCGCCATTATGGGTGTCAAAACTAATCACCAAACATTTAGGCAAAGGTTTCGCTCCACTCCACCCAATGCAGTTTGGTTTTCGTGCACACCACTCCACTGAGACAGCTAACTGTCTTTGTGGAAAAGGTTAAATCTATGTTGGACATGAGCCCATATGTAGGTGCTGTCTTCCTTGATCTCAGGACGGCGTTTGACACAGTTGACCACCAAGTGCTCCTTACAAAGCTCACTCATTTCAATTTTTCGGCAGTTTCGATACATTGGTTTAAGTCTTACTTATCGAACAGAAAACAGTGTGTTTCGGTCAACGGTGCCAAATCCCCCTGCCTTGTGAACCCTGTTGGGGTTCCACAAGGTTCCATTCTTGGACCATTACTGTTTTCACTGTACATAAATGACTTGCCTAATGTATGTCCTGAGTTGAATGGGCAAATGTATGCCGATGATGCGGTAAAATGATCTCACCCTGTCTCTCAAATGCTTTGGACAAGGTTCAACACTGGCTGAACAACATTTGGCTGAACAACATTTGCTTACAGTTAAATGTAAAAAAAAACAGTATGCATGATGTTCGAAGGATCCAATGTGTTTTTTAAATGGAGCAGAAATAGAACTAGTCTCTCAGTTCAAGTATCTTGGAGTCATACTGGACTCAAACTTGACTTTTAAGAAACATATTAAGAAAGTATCCAACACAATTAAATTCAACTTGCAAAATGTTAAACAAATCAGACCTTTCTTAACTGTCAATGCTGCAAAGTCATACCTCCACTGTATGATTCTATCCAGTATTGAATACTGTTTGACAAACTGGTCGTTTGCTTGTGCCACACACCTTAAACCAGGGGTGCCCAATACTTCGATCGCGATCGACCGGTCGATCGCAAGGGTAGTGTGGGTAGATCGCATGGCATTGAAAGAAAAAAAAAACATTTCTTATTTTTTAAAGTTAGCCTATCAACCATCCTTACTGTGGCATTTGCCACTTGATTGACTTACAGGTAAGCCAGTCTGAGTTGTATTGTGCCATACGGGTTGATGTCGTTATGACGGGGCCTCACCTCCTCATCTGAAACGCAAATGTGGCGCACTATTATACGCTTATGCGGCGCAATTAGTGTAAGCACGCCACAGTTTATCCGCCGTTTAGGTCCCCCCCCCCCACACACACTGGACGCTGCACTAGGTCAGAAGCCAGAGGAGACTGTGAAGTCCACCGTAGATGGACCACTTTCGGTCAAAATGTACTATCAATTAAGGGCAGCTCATTGTGGAATAGCCTCCCAACTGAGATACGGGATTGTCCCACTTTGAACAGTTTTGAAGGTCAACTCAAAGAATGGTTGAGAAACAAACAAACGTGCAATGTTAAATTGTTAAACCGCTAAATGCACTTTAACACAGGGTATCTCCTCTTGCACTTTAGGAAGCTCTTTTATCTTCTCTTGCACTTTATATGTCGTAGCTGCTACATTGTATTACCATGTGTTTAATTGCCTGTATATGCTGCTCATGCTATTTCTGCATATCAAGTATTTATTTTTGCTATGTATATAAATGTCATGTTCTTAAATGTTGTATGTGAGGGACTACGAATGGAAATTAGCTAAAAGCTCAAATCCGGCATATTTACATTTTGAAGCATTAATTGTTAAAAATGTTCATCAATTGTCCCTCTTCAAATAAACGATTACATGAAAATGAAATGAAATATATTGTATTGTGTGTGTTTCAGGTGTGGCAGTAAGCAGGGGGAGGAGGACTACAGGCCTTTGTTTGAGAACTTTGTTCATGACCTGCTGTCTGCAGTCAACAGGCCTGAGTGGCCTGTAGCTGAACTGCTGCTCAGCTTACTGGGCCGGCTGCTGGTGAGTAACATCAATCACTTTAAAGGAATCACCCCCATCATCTGCTCGGTAGAAACAGCGGCTGATTCCCTTTTTGACATTTCCCCTCCACTTCTCGTGCTCCAGGTGCACCAGTTCAGCAACAAGCAGACAGAAATGGCGCTCAGGGTGGCGTCGCTCGACTACCTCGGCACCGTGGCATCTCGCCTGCGTAAAGATGCTGTCAATAGCAACATGGACCAAAAGACTATTGACCGCATCCTCAAAGAGGTAGACTAGATGATCACACAATTACTTTCACGGAGCTACATTAATAGTGGTGTTGAACTGCTTCTGAGCTGCTTCTGGTTTATTGATTTCCTTACAGACTCAAGGCAGTGATGAGATCCAGCAACTCCAGAAGGCCTTGCTGTACTACCTTAATGAAAACATTGAGACAGAACCCTCTCTTGTGGTAAGTGTTTAATATTCACCCACTAAACTGTGAATATACAGAAATCATTATGGGCACATTTAGGATTTTATTATGAATGGATACTAGGCAGTAGTTAAACACATGGACTGTTTATATAGTTAGACAGGGTTCCTTGATGTCAAATTACTTTATAGTCTTCTTAATTACTTATGTATTCATTTGTTTCATATAGTTTGCCAGGAAGTTTTATATTGCCCAGTGGTTCAGGGACGCTACGACTGAGGCCGAGAAAGCGATAAAGTCTCAAAATGACGATGAGGAAGTGAAAGGCCTTCATCATTCCATGGAAGTTGACTCAACTGAGGAGATTATGCAGAAATCCGAGTCACGAAAGAAATTCCTCCGCAAAGTCATCAGGACATCACCGTCAGATTTCAACTCTCTGAGGTAAATACTACTGTACTCTGCATCAATGCCCTGATTTGGTACGCTGTTTGACCTTATCTCCAATCCTGTTTGACTCTTGATTGTTCTTTCAGGGTAAACTCTGACACGGTAGAGTATGAGGACTCATGTCTGATTGTCAGATATCTGGCCTCCATGAGGCCGTTTGCACAGAGCTTTGATATTTATTTATCACAGGTGAGAGGATTCATTGCAAATAAACGTCAGTGAGAGACTTTGTTGTATTGGTAGTCTCTAACTTTTAAAAATATTTTGTAATAGATTCTGAGGGTGCTTGGTGAGAGTGCCATCGCAGTCAGAACTAAAGCCATGAAGTGTTTGTCTGAAGTAGTAGCTGTGGATCCAAGTATTCTGGCACGGGTAAGTCATCCTGTATTGTTGCTACATGATGCTCATATTACTGGATTGATAGGACCCAGATGAGGGTGTTGCACTTTTTCTTTGTACATGTGATGTGGGTGGCTGTGTGGATACTAGTGTGCTGGACTTCGAATCAGGGTATAGCAAGTTCGAGTCCCACTGCAGTCAGCATGTCGTTGTGTCCCTGAGACACTTCACCCCTAATTGCTGCTGTGGGGATTGTCCACAGTACTGAATGTATGTAAGTCGCTTTAGATAATAGCGTCTAACAAACGACATGTAATATGATGTTTCAGTGTTCTTGTTTTTTGTTTTGTTTCTTTCCGTTAACTGTCAAGTGGGAACTAAGTATTTTTTGTAGTAAGTTTTTGTGTTTCTCTTATTATCCTATGACACTGTGTGAATAAGAAAATATGAAGGACAGACCATCTATTTCCATTTTTTAATTTATTTTTTAGAAAGGGGCAGGTAACATAAGATCATTTTCTTCTCTCTGCTCCTTTTCGGTTAATGGTGTGTTAATAGAGACATGTTTTTTAAACAAGTATTAGACATTAAGTTGTGCATACCATGAATGGAACAAATACAAATTAAATTAAATAGAGGTAGCGCTAAATGTTTTTTTATTTGACAGATAAAAACCTTTTTTTACTGTGAATCTAACAAATTCAACAGGAGATTCTGTTAAAGCCTGGTTGTAATGTTGCTACATTCTAACCAGCAGTCATAACGCTCAGTGATTTGTTTCTTTGCTTGACTTCTCTTTACGTTTTTGTTTTGCAGTTGGACATGCAGCGTGGGGTTCACTGTCGCCTCATGGATAACTCTACCAGTGTGCGAGAGGCGGCGGTGGAGCTGCTCGGCCGTTTCGTGCTAAGTCGACCGGAGCTCATTGAGCAGTACTACGACATGCTCATTGAAAGGATATTGGTAATTTCTTTAGCTTCTCTCTTTACATTTTGAACAGCTCAATGAGAGCTTCTGTATTATGCACAAATGAATCAACTCCTTCCTGGTTTAAAATGATTGGGTCACATCATTGCCCTCTTAAGGGTTTGTGGACGAGGCCATGGCTTACATTGGTCCAACTGAAGTGGAACCTTCACACTTACTTGAGCAAACTGACCAAAAAGTTCATTTAAAGTGCCAAAGTTCAACTGAGGTTAAATCATATTCTCCCACACTGCCCCCTAAAGATCACATGTAGAACTACAACAATTTAGCAGTTTGAATATGCAATCGAGAAAGATATTTCTTCTTGACTATACTGACCTTCCCTTTAACCCATGTTCACACAGGACACAGGTATTAGTGTCAGGAAGAGGGTCATCAAGATCTTGAGAGATATTTGCCTGGAGCAGCCGGACTTCCACAAGGTGACCGAGATGTGTGTGAGGATGATCCGAAGGGTCAACGATGAGGAGGGGATCAAGGTTAGTGTTTGTTACAATCTGAATGATGCTTACATGAGGCACTTAAAAAAAAATATTCTTATATACTAACATTTCTTTTCATATGCAGAAACTGGTGAATGAGACTTTCCAGAAAATCTGGTTCACCCCCACACCCAGTCATGACAAAAATGCAATGACCCGGAAGATCCTGAACATCACAGACGTGGTGCGTATTACGTTGGCTTCCTAATAAGAAACTAATTGTGCTGTTTAACTTTTTTATTTCCTGACTCATGTTCTGCTTTGATTTCATGCCAGGTGTTTGCATGCAAAGATTCAGGCTACGACTGGTTTGAGCAGCTTCTCCAAAATGTGAGTTGTTGACCTGTGTGGTCGTAGTGGTATCTCAACATCATGCCCTTTCTCTTTATGATAGCTGTTTTTTCGGGCATCTTACTGTATCCAACTTCTGTATTAAATCTGTTTAGCTGCTCAAGTCTGAAGAACAAGCGTCGTACAAACCTGCCAAGAAGGCCTGTGTTCAGCTGGTGGACAATCTAGTGGAACACATCCTGACATATGAAGACACTCTTGCAGGTAATGAAAAAAACACCATATTAGCTTACAAAATGAGTATTGTATTGTTTTTGTGTTAGACATTCCTTTGCTTTGACAAATCTCAATGCTCTTTGTGTTTTGCCATTCAGACTGTGAAGACAAAGGGGTCACCTCAGGTCGTCTGGTTTCATGCATCACCACTCTTTACCTGTTCTGCAAGATCAGAGCACAGCTGATGGTCAAACACACCATGACTATGCAGCCCTACCTGACCTCCAAGAGCAATGTAAGTATCATCATTGGTTAAGTATAAGTCTAAAATTCTGACTTTTCTAAAAGTAAGAGTTATCATTTGTTGCTCTAAGGACAGATAGGAACAATACCAACTTTTATGTTGTGCTATAGGGCCATCTAGTGGCAGCCAAATGGAATGAACGCAGCCCTTCTCAGAATCAGAATACCATTATTAGTCCCACGGAGGGGAAATGTGCGTAGTTACAGCAGGAAAAAGGGCCACAGACAGCTTAATGTTACATAATGCATTTCAAAAAAAGTACTAAGTTATGATATACTAAAACAAATATAATTTTTTTTTAAAAAGTTACATAATTTAAAAAAATACACATCCTGTAACAGTTCTAAGGATTTAGCAGCCAGGTATATATTACACAGTTATTAACGGCATTTATATATATTGCACATCTAGCACATATTGCACATAGTTTGTTGGTATTTAGCAGCAAGGGGTGATCTGTGTTGTGTGTGTGTGTGTGTGTGTGTGTGTGTGTGTGTGTGTGTGTGTGTGTGTGTGTGTGTGTGTGTGTGTGTGTGTGTGTGTGTGTGTGTGTGTGTGTGTGTGTGTGTGTGTGTGTGTGTGTGTGTGTGTGTGTGTGTGTGTGTGTGTGTGTGTGTGTGTGTGTGTGTGTGTGTGTGTGTGTGTGTGTGTGTGTGTGTGTGTGTGTGTGTGGTGGGGGTCAACTAGGGGCTCTGCTGGTTGTACCCACATTTGCTGTAATGTGTGAGAAATCAATTGCTTACAATCAGTTGCCATATATAATGGGGCACACCTGTGTAATAAAGACATTCAAATACTAAATGCGTTATACTCAAATGCTAACACTAATGCTGTACATTGTTTAATTAAGTTTTATATTGTAGGATAAACTATACAGTGTTGAATTCATGTCTAAAGCAATTACTTAGTTAGTTATTTCCCAGCTCAGCTTTGGACTGAGCCGCTGTCTCTGCATTTATATTCCAGACTCAGAACGACTTCATGGTGATCTGTAACGTGGCAAAGATCCTGGAGCTGGCCGTGCCTCTGATGGAGCAACCAAGTGAGACTTTCCTCACCACCATAGAAGAAGACTTGATGAAGCTCATTATCAAATATGGCATGACGGTCAGTGTGATTTACAGCTTTCACAAATATATCCCAGGAAAACACAACAAATTCAGATGTGATACTGCTCTGAGCGCACTGATTTTAATTTGATTCCATTTGTTGTGTTTGTTTCTCAGGTCGTACAACACTGTGTCAGCTGTCTTGGTGCTGTTGTGAACAAGGTCACACACAACTACAAGTTCGTCTGGGCGTGTTTCAATCGCTACTATGGTAAGGCTTCTGTAAACATCAATTATAACATAAACAACACACATTTTCTCATACCAGAATTAGCATTCAGCTTGAGATGGGAAAGGCTGGAAAGAAATGTGAGAATACACAAAAACATCACAAAATATACGTAGGGATTATTATTGTTAACATGATAATTCACTTTCAAATGTACAGGGTTACATTATGCTCTTATCACCTCATTATACTCACTTTCTCATTTCACATGGATATAAATAAGAGCATTAAACGCACCAAAAGTTATTTCTATAAACCAGAGAAACAGAAGTTGGTATTCAATGCCGATTTGTATCTTTCTATAGGAGCTCTTGCAAAACTGAAGACCCAGCACCAAGAGGACCCCACCAGCGTCACCCTGGCTACCAACAAACCTACTCTCCTGCGCTCACTCTTCACTGTGGGGGCTCTCTGCCGACACTTTGATTATGATCAAGAGGAGTTCAAGGGCACTAGCAAGGTAAACAGCAGCCCTCAAACTATTTCAATCATGTGCCTTCTGACTTCTGTTGAACCTGACTCATAAATGACTGCTTTCACTCAGATCGTCATCAAGGAGAAAGTGTTGGAGCTTCTGTTGTACTTCACCACTCATGAAGATGAAGAGGTCCAGATCAAGGCCATCATAGGTCTAGGTAAGTTGCTCCTCATCTCATACTAACATAACATAGATCACTGTCATGTCTTCTTTTTATTTGCATATGTCTTTGGGTTCCCTCTATATTTATTTAAATGATTTCCATTCTCTCCAGGCTTCCAGTTCATCATGCATCCAGAGCTCATGTTTGTTCAGGATGTGAAGGTCCTCTATAACAACACCCTGTCAGAGGATAACCCTTCGGTCAGTCGGAGGATCCAGGTGCTGAAAAACCTGCAGATATACCTGCAAGAGGAGGACTCTCGAATGCAGGTGGCCGATCGTGAATGTGAGTTTAATTAAATATTCCCATTTTGGCTTTATTGTGAAGACAGACAAAATCCCTACTAATCTGTTTGCATGGCTACTCAAAATGAATGTTCCTATTTAAATGCCCTGCTTGTATGTTCTATGTTAGCATGTCAAACATGTAGCACCTTCGAAGACTAACCAAGCCAGTGGTCGCGTTAACCGAATATTTTCCTTCTATGACGATTTTTTTAAAAATAATGACGGAAAAATCTGCCGTACAAATAATTGAAATGTCTGTGAGTTTCTGCGTGACGCTGTGCACGCTCCCGCGAGGTGCATGCATATTTCGGTGGGCATGCATAACACCGACGCTAACAGTTCTCTGCACCCCGACCCCCCCAAAATGACGGGCAGTGAAAAAGTCTAGCGCCACCACTGAACCAAGCTGATGGTTTTTTTTTTTATTCAGGGAAGAATCAGGAAAAGCAGGAGGATCTGAAGGAAATGGGAGACATCTCATCAGGCATGAGCAGCTCCATAATGCAGATCTACCTGAAGCAGGTGCTGGAGTCCTTCTTCCACTCTCAGTCCACTGTTCGCCACTTCGCCCTGAGCGTCATCCTTCTGACTCTCAGCCAGGGCCTCATCCATCCTGTGCAGGTTTGCGCACAGTCTCACTCCAGCACTCTCACACAAGACTGAGTTTAAGATCTTACAAGCAAGAACTGTTTTTTTGTCTCGCAGTCATAACTAGGTTGATGATTAGTCACATTTAAACCTCATTTTCTAATCGCAAAAGATTCAAAAGATTGTTGTTCTGCAGTGCCTTGTTCTTTTTTATTATTGTATTGATGATGGTGATGTAAATATGATCTGTTTGCAAAGCTTGAAGTTACAGTTTACAATATTCTACTTTGTTGGAAGGTTTCTTACAATTGAAATGGTCACATGAGCGAGTGTATTTGACTGTTCTCCATGTTGTTCCACCCCAATGACAACATTCTCTTCCCGTCTTGAATGACTGATGAGCTGATCACTGATTTGAAATCTTTTTTTTTTTAGTGTGTGCCATACTTGATTGCCATGGGAACCGACCCGGAGCCAACAATGAAGAACAAGGCCGATCAACAGCTGGTGGAGATTGACAAGAAATATATTGGCTTCATCCACGTGAGTGACTTGTTTGTTTATTAACGGCAAACTAGATAAGTTACATTTTTGCATTTCTGTAAACGTACACATCTCATAATGGACTTTGTGATAGGCATCGGAAGGATTTGGATCATTATCTATTATCTACATCCATGCTGAGTTGTATTTCTTTGTGAATCCACAGATGAAGGCCGTAGCAGGGTTGAAGATGTCTTATCAGGTGCAACAGGCCATAAACGGAGCCAAAGGCCCACTGCTTAGAGGTTTTCGTCCGGATGACACAGACACTGCTCTCTGCGCTCATCTCTACTCTATGGTGCGAGGGAACCGACAGCACAGACGGGCTTTCCTCATTTCTCTGCTCAACCTGTTTGATGACAGCTCAGTAAGTCACCTTCAGTGCATCTCCAACCAGGCAGTATCCAAGCTTTACTGCTGGCCATTAATAGTTCATTTAGGTCAGGGGTGTCAAAATCAATTTCATCTTGGGCCACATTAGCATCATGGTTGCACTCAAAGGGCCAGTTTTATATACAAGAATATAAAAAATACATATATAAAAATGTAATGTATATAAAATAATGTATTATATTACATTATTGCCTCTGCATTGGATTATTATCGGATAGGGTAATAACTGAATAAGTCTCTTCAGTGAGAATGTCACAAAATGATTTAAAAAGAAAAGCCAAATTCTGGGAAAAAGTCAAAATCAAAAAAAAGAAATTACATTTTGAAAAAAAAAGTCAGATTCTGAGAAAAATACAAATTCTGAGTGCTTCTGTAAATCGGCATGTAACCTTATAATAAACATATTATATTCTTTGCAAGCTCTTGTGGGCCACATAAAATGAAGTCACGGGCTGGATTTGGCCCCCGGCCCTTGAGTTTGACACCGCTGATTTAGGTAGTGATTTTCTACCTTTTGTCTCCTGCAGAAAACAGAGGTGAACATGCTGTTGTTCGTAGCAGACAACTTAGCCTGCTTCCCCTACCAGACCCAGGAGGAGCCTCTGTTCATCATGCATCATGTAGACATCACGCTGTCAGTCTCTGGCAGCAACCTGCTCCAGTCCTTCAAGGAGGTGCAAAGCTTGCTTTTACTTTGGATGGGAAATATTGCTCTTTTTTGTGAGATGAAAATAAAAGCTCAGGTAATACATCTTCTGAATGATTGGTATGTGTTTGGTTCTCTGTGCAGTCTTTACGGAAAGAGCCTGTCAATCAGGAAGAGGAGATAAAGGCAAAAAAGAAGAAGAAGAAGAAAAAGAAGAAGAAGAAGAAGCATCATAAGAGACAACTGGGCTCGGATGAGGACGATGAAGAGGAGGACGAGGAGCAGAGCAGTAGCTCCTCCAGCAGCAGCAGTGAGGAGGAAGAGGAGGTGGTACACAGGGCGAAGAAACCTGTGGATCATGATTCTGACTTTGAAGATGAGGACGCAGTGATGTCCCGCCTGCCCGAAAACTCCAACCCTCTTCTGGAGTTTTCCAGCTCCTCGCAGGGCATCCTGCTGCTGCTGATGCTCAAACAACACCTGAAGAATCTGTTCGGTTTAACAGACAGGTGGGGCCACATCAGAAATGGACGGTTTAACCAATCTATATTTAAAAAAAGTAATGCAATTGATAATATGACTCGGACTAAACTTGTTTTTTGTTTACCTTTCAGCAAAATCCAGAAGTATTCCCCGACAGAGTCTGCCAAAGTGTACGACAAGGCAGTGAACAGGAAGTCTAAGGTGCACTTTAACCCCGGTCAGACACTGCTCTACCTGAAGAGTGATCTGGCCAACACGGAGCTCAGCCACGAGACCAAGAGGAATATTGTTAAACAGTATTTGGATGTAAGCATTCAGCACTATGTTCAAAGTGAATGTGTATTCATGTTTCAATCTCAGGAGTATGACTAATATTATATCTGCTTTTATCTCTTAGTTCAAGGTACTGATGGAGCACTTGGATCGTGACGAAGAGGACCAAGAGGGTGAAGCGAATGCAAACGCCAGAAACAAAGCCATTACTTCACTGCTGAAGGGCCCAAAACCAGTGAACCACAACCACAATAACCACACTGCTCCAGTGGAGTCAGAGGAGGAGGAGAGTGAAGCTGAAGAGCCCCCTGTGGTAGGAATTTTAAAACATTTTAAAATAAAGAACCCGCATAGGATTTCTATGTTCCTGTAATAAGACTGCATCAACGTGGGCAATAGTGAGGTGGATATCAAATTGAAGTTACAAACCAGAAGGGTTGAGGAAGGTTAATAAGAAATAAAAGAGAAAATGTTTTTTCATGATCAAATACAGGATATATTCTGTCGACCCATACAGAATTTCAATTTGACATGATATGACTGTAATGTCCATGACCTACACCAACATCTTAACATTCTTTGGATTATCTTCATTGTTGTAAACAGAAACTCAACTTTGATGGGCGTCTTACTGCAGCTTCACACATTATCCCAACAATTCTGTGAGATTTGTCTGTGGTGCCTCCTGTGTAATAAAGTTGTTTTCATGTGGTACACCCTCTGCTTCTTCTATCAACAGCGCAAACCGAAGAAAGCCGTAGAGACCCCAGAAGACACAGGCAACCTGCAGGAGAGAGTAAAGGCCATGGACATCATTGCCCTCTGCTGTCCCAAATTCAAAGACAGACCACAGATCGCCAGGGTCATCCAGAGGATCAAAACTGGCTACAGCATACACTGGATGACTGGTTCTTACTCTGGGTCCTGGGCGGAGGTAAAGAAACGGGAAGGTCGCAAAAAGGTGCCTTGGGTTGACACCATCAAAGAATCAGACATCATTTACAAGAAAATATCCTTCGCAAGTGGACAAAAGCTGTCGAACAAAGTGGCACAGACGTTACGGGATCTATACGCTGCCAAGGACGGGGACTAAGAGTCACATGGAACCTCCTCCCACACCCCAAACCTGTGCGGACCCAGTATGTTACTCAGAGGAAATCAAACCTCTTTAGATTTAAGGACCAGAAGGAGGAAAAGTATTGTGAACTATGATCTGTTTAAATACAGACATGTTTAAGTTAAACACAAGAAAAACATAAGAAGGAAATGTTTGGGAAAACATTGTGTGGGAGTTCCTTCGCTGTTGTGCAGCAACTTCGTTGTTTGATTTTTACTCCCACTGTATAATAGTTTAACTAAACACATGTTTATATCTGAACATAATTCTGTAAAAAAGTAAACTGAATGTTGGAAATTAGTGTTATGATGATGTTCTTAATAAAGTGTTTTTGGAGTTTAAACTAGCACCAGATGAATTTATTCACTTGACCTGAGCTCCAAGAACTTTTAGCTTTCTTTTTTGTTCTTGTTTCGAACACTTTGTTGTTTACCTACACTGTGTAATGGAGTATCTTTGATATGTTTTATTTATGTTAAGAGCAGTGCAGTATCTGTGCCTATATGCAGGGGAAGTTATATTGTTTTTAATATAGATTTTGATGTTATAGAACACAGCAAGAAAAAAGTTATCCCCCGCTCTTCTGGTGAAACAAATACTGCAATAAATTTTTCTTACGTCTTTGTTACTTGTTTGCGTTTTTTTCCTCACCTAAGAATATTTATTGTGTCATTTTCAAAAACGAATGCCTCGTTTTTTTCTGTCTCACCTGTCTGATGGAGATTTAGAATAGTGAAGTAAGACTTGGAGGGTTTTTTACAGATCAAATGGGACGGCAAACAGCTCTATCCGTGCCTCTAAAGAAATCATAACAGAGCATCCTAAATGGTTATTTAATTATCTAATCATTAAGCAATGTTTGCCATAACAGCTCATCTTGCTTTGATTAAGACTGGAAGGTCATTTTATAAAAATCAGTTGGACGTTACTCCACACTAGTGGTTGATGTCCTGTGCACAATTACGTTTTCTCTTTAGGATTATTTGCATTCTGGTAAAAAAATGTTTGATCAAGCAGATGATTTGAATTGAACAAGAATGCCCCTTTTCTACTTGTTTTTCCTCTCTATGCTTTAATTTATGATTGCTATGAAGCCACTTGCTTTTTGGAGAACAGAGAAACACAGGAAGTTCTTCATAGTATCAAAACGATGGAAACCTCCTAAAATGTACATGTACTCTAACATTTGAAAGTGCGACAAAGTCATTATAAATAATGTCAAGGGAATCAGATTTTCTTTATTTTGATGCTGAAATAAAAAACACTTGCAATATTTGTTAAGAATAGAAAACAAAAAAATTCTATAAAAGAAAAATTAAAAAACAATTAGGTGTTTAATACCTCTTCTTTGAATACTAAGGCAACAGGTTGAGTTGATTTCAATTATTCACATATCATTTTTACAGGATTATTTACATGCTTTGTGCTGTGAATTACAGATAAAATAACATTGACCGCTGGGTGGCAGCATAACCTTTTACTTGTCCCAGTCTGCGAAAATTAGGGAATCGAAGAAGAATTTGGTCAACCGGAAAAAAACCTTTCACCTCTGCCGCTGTGTGTGCATGAGGTTGGCGGGCTGCTAGTTGTATGTATTTGTTTAAATTCTGCTGCTCCATTGGTGAACACAACTTATTTGCCAAATAACCCATTACTACGCGGAATATTTTCAGTCGGGTAAAGCAACGAGTTCACTTTAAAACTCTTAATTTACACTTAGCTAGCATTTAGCTAGCAAGCTAAATAATAAGACGTTACTGATAGCAGCGGGCTAACTAACCGGTGGTCTTCCATCAGCATGCTAACATCAGCTAGCACCAGACAGAACATTTAATTGGTAGTGAAGTTGGCAGGATATCTCTTTATTATTTACATTTAAAACCTGGCCACCTTTGCTGACACTATCGTTAACTCTCATTGAACGGTTCTGTAGGTAAGTTAGCGGAGGTAGCTCAGCCATGCCGTCCGGCGCTGGACCCAGCAGCCCCGCAGCTGCACTCGCTGAAGCGCTGGAAAACTCTTCCCAGCTGATCGACAAACATCTGCTGGAGGACCGATGCTTCCCTGACCTGTCGGAGCTGCTCAGCGTCCCATGTCACAGTGAGTCCTTTGGAGGGATGGATCACAGAGACCTTGGTGTAGCTATCAAACTTGTGGTTCTGTTGACCAGTGGTGTAGTCTCATTTGTTGTAGTGGGTATACTGTAATAATTGTACTCATCCATCCTAGAGCATCACGGAGCGACACCTGTCTCGAAGCAACACCTCATGAACACCATCACACTCACTAATGCATAGACTAGTCTCGAGACTGGTTATGTGTTATCAACATGTCAATGTATTATAAGCATTTGTATGTGACTTTTAACTGCCCGTGACATTAACAATACACAAATAAAAGAATGAACAATGATGGAAAAAGCCCACTTATCTTCTAGGGTTGAACAATTAATCGACATTTTTATCAAAATCTCAATATGGCCTACTGCAATTTTCAAGTAATGTACAATAAATATGGTCATGCTACAGATGTCCTGACCCACACATCATATTCTACACTTCAAAAAGCATCTTTGTTTCGCATAGATCTGCACAAATATCACACAATAATCATTTTAAACATATTTTTCAATGCATTAGATATTTATTCAAACTTGTTCAGCCCTATTATCTTCCATAAATCATTGTCAAACTATGTACTGTATCAGCTTAAATGAACAAGCAAACATCCTTGAAGTGCTACAAGACAAATTAGCTTCAAACAAGAAACAAATGAACAAATAAGCTTCACGTCAATAAATGAGGGTTGAAAAAGCACTCGACGTGTCCATACTGGGTTCACTGTGTTCGTCCACAAGCCCTGAGAAAAGGATGGAACACTTCTAGACATAGTCTGGTAGTCTACAGAGCTTTCCAGATATGTTTGTACTCATCTGAGGTGTGCATTGCCTCCTTGCTTGCGTGGCAGAGCGATGGCTTCTCAGCCATGTGACGTACTTCCTTGGCTCATAAAGTGTTACAGGGTGATGCTGATCATCATCAAATTACTTACATTTGACAAGAACAGTGTCGATCTCTTGTCTGTGCATATATTGGTCATGAGACTGAAGCCCCTTTCACACTCAGCAGTGCTGCAAGGGATGGTCTTCGTCGGGGCAATGTTAGTATCTGTAGTGTGATTACTGAATTATAAAAGTACCGCGTTACACTACTCCGTTACCGACAAAAGTAATATTATTACACCCAACTCTGCTGGCCACCCATCGCGTGCTTAAAACTCTGCCAATTTTCAGGACTTGCGAGCCCACTTCTTGCGCTGCTTCCAGAAGCTCTCGAGAATTTGTATTGGACTGACTGTAGAGATCGTGGATCTTCTCTAGGAACACTTTGAAGTGGTTGACTGCCTGAACCTCATCCACAGCATCAGATACAGCCAGTTCCAAACGGTGGTTCATGCAGTGCCATGTGAAGAGGTTAGGGTACCTTGCTGTCAGCCTGGTTGCCACACCAGAGTTCTTGCCTAACATGACACTGGCTCCATCAGAAACAAATGAGACCCAGTTCTTTTGAAGCCACTCTTCAGTGAAGCCTGCAGTTTCCAAACACTTCAGCAGAGCTTCTTCTATATCCTTTGCCCTTTGGCTCTCCAGCTCAACCAGCTCCAGGAACAACAATTCAGGAGTAGCTCCATCCACTGAGGCTTTCAAGTTGACAATCATTGCAGATTTGTGGCTGATAGATGTAGCCTCGTCAATGAGAACAGACAACTTGCTTGAAGATGTCACAATACTGTGAACTATTTTTTTCTGCATCTCTTTTGCTATGTGTTCTACAATTTGCGTGGAACTGTACCGTGAGTACAGACTAGTGCCCATGTTGGCACCATTTTTTTCCTGAAGCTCAATGAGACTATCATGGTCAGTAAAAGGTCGGTTCATCTTCGCAAGATAGTATGCTGTTCTGAATACAGAATCTGTCTCTGCAAACACAGTCTCTGACACAGCTCTCACCACATTTCCAACTAAATCCTGCCCACCCTTCTCCGTGAGCTCCTGGGCTATTTTGTGTGCTCTGGACGTCTCATGTCGTCTAATCTTGTTCTTAAGCGACCCAACGGAAGTTTATTGTAAAATGCGCCGCGGCCATAACTCCGGCTAGGAAGGTCGTATCAACGTACTCCCGTCTCTAGCACCCCGCAGCCCGAGCTACGAGTGAAAGAACTAAACTTACATGAAACTTCCGTTGGGTTGCTTTAAAGTCAAGCTTCAGTTTAAGATTCACCCTGTAATAGAACATGTGATGGAGCATCACTAACCTGACTCAGATGGTTTGTTTCACCAAACCATCTAAAGCTCCATTGGAAGCCATTTGGAAAGGGCAGGCACTTTCAAAAGCACTTGGCAGGTGATTGGATCAATCTGTCTATCACCTTCTATCATGGGCCACTTCTGATTGTTTAACAATGGCTGGTACATGTGGAGCACAGCACTTCTGATTGGTGTGGATGACTGCGATTTTTTGATCGTGTTTTTGTATCTCACTCCCTTTCTCTTCCATTGATCCACCACACTAACGTTGATCAAGTTAGCTAGTTCTAACCAACTATCCCCTGCTACAGTTACGTTAATGATAACCATGCTAATTTCACTTACCGGGTAACTTTGCGGTAGCGCCGTGCTCGTTCTCTGTCACCTTTAGGACAGCCGCCTGACCTGGCTCTTCTTCTGTAGTGGTAGTAGGGGAAAACATTGAAATATTGTCGTCTGTTTTCGTTTCATGTTTGCTTCCTGTTTAGCGCTCTGCGAACTTGAATGGTGGACGGATCAAATTCTGATAACGTTAGAGAAACGTGGGGTTTGTCAGAGCCGAACAAAGTGTGTTGCTGTTGCTTAGCAACAGGTGACGGAAGCCCCAGACGTCCAAAAGTATTAACACAGAAAGGGCGAAAGCGTGAAAGCACGGTCACAAAATGATGTTGCGTATCATCGCTCATTTTTAAGAGGGTATACGGAAATCACTGGCATTTTCTAGTGGGTATACGGCGTACACCAGCGTATCACATAGACTACACCACTGCTGTTGACACTTGGGCTGCCATGCCACAGTACAGATGTTGGTTTGATCAAAATGGATATGGTGCTTATAAGGATTGTTTTTAGGCAGATAAATGTTCGAGGAATGATCCTGTGGAATTGAGTATGATGACGAATAAAGGTAGCTTTATCATGTTATTGTAATCCATCAAACGAGAAAGCAGTCATTCTGAGACAAAACATTGATCATACTTAGAGAAGACCTTTTGCAACTCTTTCCACATGAACTACCAACAAGACACGGATATATGGCATTCGTTTTTCATTCCACTGTATATATAAGAAGAAAGACCACACCCTAACAGAAATAATGTGTTTACTGTTTGAACCTGTTTCTGTCAGAATCTGTTAAGCTCTTGAACATACAAGTTTTCTGGCACCCATGGTAACGGGGATGAAAATAGGCCAGCTGAAAGAGTGGAACCATCAACTGGTTGAATACACAAAAATACTTTCTGCTGACTTTCTAACACTATGATTGATTATGTTTGTATATAACTGATATATATTATGATTGGGATCCAATGCCTGGGACAGTGCTTGATCTGCTGGTATTGCATGTGTTTATAGATATGCCGTCCCTCTCTGGAGTGTCGGACATGGACTACCCCCTGCAGGGACCGGGTTTACTCAGTGTGCCAAACCTCCCGGAGCTCAGTGCAGTCCGCCGGGTCCCTCTGCCGCCAGAGCTGGTGGAGCAGTTCAGCCGTATCCTTTTTATCATTCAGGAAATAAAATCGTTTCAAATTCACTGGACCAGGAGGTTTCTATCAAGCATATAGCACACAGTTTAGTTGATCCCTTTTTAGTTTTGCGTTGTATTTGAGTTTCAACTTAACAATTTCACAGATATGCAATGTAACTGCATGATGGGAGTTTTCCCAGAGATCTCTCGAGCATGGCTTACTATTGACAATGACATCTTTATGTGGAATTATGAAGATGGGTGAGTACATTTACTTTATGAGGAACACAGTGATGATCATGAGCAGCAAGGCAAGTTTATTTATAGCTCCTTTCAATACAAGGCAATTCAAGGTGCTTTACAAAAATGAAACAAAGGCATTTAAAAACAGTCATTAAAAATAAAAGATAATAAAAGAAACATTAAAAGAAAAAGTACATGAATAAACAGTTACAGTGCAGTTTAAGATATGAATAGTTCACACAGAAGTTCCACTTTACTGATGCCTTTCTTTAAGGTTTCTCCGAACATGAGCTGTGTACGCTTGTATGGCACATACGTCCCGAGCAGCATACACAGAGAAAATCAGCCAGGACAAAGTCCCCAGACACTGATTCCCTGGGGTTACTAGCCCCAAATGTTCATTAACCAAAAAACGAAACACAACCGCTCAGTTTCAATTAAAAGCAGCGACAAAAAGAAAAGTCTTCAGGCTGGATTTCAAAGTAGTCAGAGTTGCAGCGGACCTGCAAGTTTCTGGGAGTTTGTTCCAGATATTTGGAGCATAATAACTGAACGCTGCTTTACCATGTTTAGTTCTGACTCTGGGGACAGAAAGCTGACCAGTCCCTGAAGACCTGAGAGATCTGGATGGTTCATAATTTAGTAGGAGGTCAGAAATGTATTTTGGGCTTAAACCATTCAAAGCTTTATAAACCAGCAGCAGTATTTTGAAATCTATTCTTTGACACACAGGAAGCCAGTGTAAAGACTTCAGAACAGGAGTGATGTGATCCACTTTCTTAGTGTTAGTGAGGACTCGAGCAGCGGCGTTCTGAATCAGCTGCAGCTTTCTAATAGATTTTTTTAGTGAGACCTGTGAAGACACCATTGCAGTAGTCGAGTCTACTGAAGATAAAAGCATGGACAAGTTTTTCCAAATCCTGCTGTGACAGTACATAAAACCAGCTGAAGTTCACATGCAGTGCTTTTAAATGAATGGCTTTTTCCCCACATTATTCTTTGTAGGGGAGATGTGGCCTATTTTGATGGCCTTATTGAAACAATTCTGGCAGTGGGCCTTGTAAAACCAAAACAAGGTATGTGTCAACTCATCATTCATTATTAATTTTTATTTTTATTGAAGCACTTTAATTTGAGTAATGTTTATGTGTTGTGTTTTCCTTCTCAGGGATTTTACAGCCACATATCCACTACCTCTTAGTACTGGCCACCTCAGTGGATGTAGTGATCCTCGGGCTGAGCTTCCCCAAGAGCCAGGCTGGTGAGTTCTCCTTTGAATGTTGTGTTTCCAGCTTACTGTGAATAGTGTTTGGTTTCCTTACTCCAATGTGACAGTTAATTGTGGGCCTGGAGTAACACTGGTCCACATATTTGACTGTTTCTGACCTTTCTCTTTGTTTTGTCGTAGGGTTGAATGACAGCATGTCTGGTGCGATGCAGCTCCTTCCAGACCCCCTCTTCTCAATCCCCACAGACAACACCTACATCATTTCCATCACCTCCACAGACCTGGGACGCATCTTTATGGCAGGAAAGGACGGCTGCCTTTATGAGATCGCTTACCAGGCCGAGGCGGGATGGCTGAGCCAGCGCTGCAGAAAAATCAACCACTCCAAAAGCTCTCTGTCCTTCCTCGTGCCCTCTGTGCTCCAGTTCTCCTTCTCTGAAGACGGTGAGGAGAGGGACAGAAATCCATGTGGAAGAAACGTCCTTGATTTCATTAAAATTAAATGTAACCTTTTGATGTCCTTGTCCTCCGCAGACCCCATTGTGCAGATTGCGATTGACAACTCCCGCAACACACTTTTCACACGCTCAGAGAAAGGTGTCCTGCAGGTATGGCACTTTGTGAAATCCCATTTTAAAGTGTTGCTGTTTCGGATAAATTAAGAAACTTATCAAGGTCCAAAACGTAATATGAACTTGTCTGTGTTTTAGGTGTATGACCTGGGTGCTGATGGACAGGGCATGAGTCGTGTGGCAACCATGTCTCAGAACACAATTGTTGCTGTTGCTGGAAACATTGCCAGGTATGTCTGGGTTTGTCGATCCTTAAACGTGTTTGTTTCACATCTGTCATCTGGCTTTAACTCTCCTTCTTTTGCAGGACAATAGATCGTTCAGTATTCAAACCTATCGTCCAGATCTCTGTGATTGACAGATCTGAGTCGTCAGACTGTCACCTGCTTGCTGTCAGTCATGCAGGTAAAGACATCAGAGCAGTAACGAAAAGTAACAAAACCAGTAGGACACGTATTGAATAATATGCAGTGTTTCCCCTAGGATGGAGTCATAGCAGCGGTGCTAAGGCACGTGGGCCTAGCATAATGTGAGCGTGCGGAATTTTTTAGTGTGCACGTGCGAAGTGCGCCCCGCCAATTTGTTTCTATGTGTCTGCTAGCACAAGAAAGGCTCTTGAGGCCTAGTACCAGGGCCGGTTCTAGCCAATTTGCTGCCCTAGGCGCGATTTTATAAGAATAAATGAAAAATCTCTACAAAAGACAAATACACTACAAAAACAGAAACGTATTGACATAGGTAATATAAGTCAAAATGGTTACAAACGTATTCAGTATTGTATGAAAATGTTTTAATTGGGGGGTGGATGTCACATCCTCTAGGGGGGTCCGGGGGTATGCCCCCCCGGGTGGATTTTTTATTTTTTAACATTTTAAAGTAAAATGCTTCAATCTGGTGCACTTTGAGCACACAATTACTAGAGACCAGATCTAGGGGGTACAACTCTAAAACACCCATATGAAAAAGATCGGTTTACATTTTAATAACCAAATAAGTATGTGAACATAACCAATCACCTACCATAGCCAATAACAAATAAATGTAACTTTTTTATTTTTGTTGTTCATTTATATCTTATTTTACCAGTTAACATTTATTTATTTATGCATATTTTTGTATCTCTCCCACTTTAAACAATATTTTTGGTTTACTGTCCTATAGTATACATTGGAATGATTTCAAACCTGTTTTTATTTATCCTAATAATTATAAAGGAGTGCCTTGGAAATATGTGTTTACATAATTTGTAAACACATATTTGTTTGAGACCCACTGAGATAACTTAGACTAAAATTAACTATCCAAACACTCAGAGAGTCCTTTACCTCACTGAGCCTCTCAGTCTGACAGGAGAGCTCTCTTCCACCCTGGTTGTAGAAACATCTACTTCTTATATCTGTTAGCGCAGCTAGCACCACATTCTAATAACAACAGCGCCGGTACCGGTGCGCCCTCTCTCTCTCGCTCCCACGCTCGCACTTTGGCTGTGAGCTGCGGGCGCCTGATAAGTCAACATCCCCCACTTTCATCACTTACAGCGCCCATCGTACAGGGCAAATTAAAAGTGTAACCCCCCCAGATCTGGCCCCCTACAGTGGCAATGTCTCAAGATTTAGCAAAAATACATCTTTATTGAACATACAGTAACACAAATACTACAAATCCACATAACAAACAATCAAAAATGAAAAAGGGTCGCCACTTATTATTATATTATTAAAAAAGAAAAATTATTATATATTTTTACAGCTGCGCCGCCGCTATTTGTATATAGGGGAAACACTGATATGAAATGTTTATACTTTGTGTGCGCCATATCCCTTTCTCTAGGTGTGCGTCTCTACTTCAGCACTACACCTTTCTCCCTCCCACACCAGAGGCACCTGGCAGTGCGACCTAGCCTGCTGGCTTTGGTCCACGTCCGCCTGCCGCCCGGGTTTTCTGCATCCTCTACCCTCCAAAAACCTGCAAAGGTCCATAAGGCACTTCACAGCAAAGGTACAACTCTTCTGTCTGCTATTCAGTTCCCCACAAGGACCAACTCACTCAAAACTCAACAAACCCCAATATTAAGAATAATCCAGATCTGCCTGTTTATAGCATTCGTCTTTTCTTTGTTTAAATCCTGCAGGTATTCTGTTAATGGCTGCTTCAGAGACAGAAGACAGTGACATCCTCTGGTGCATCAACCATGACTCCTTCCCCTTCAAGAAACCCTTGATGGAGACTCAGGTAGGCTCTCAAAACAAAGTTGAGGTGACAGTTAAGGTGTGCTGTTACTACTACTTCTACTGCTATCTATACTTACTTCTCGGTCAGAAGTAATTAACCTTTTTTTTTTTTTTTTTTTAAATCGAGTGCTTTACTACCTAAAAGCCAGGCTACACTGAAAGAAACCTTAAATGATGCCTATTTTTCTTCTGCCTTCTATTGCAGATGATGTCTAATGTCGATGGACACTCTTGGGCTCTTTGTGCCATTAATGAGGAGAGACCATCCAAGATATCTTCTCCTCTGAACACAGCACTGATCCCCATCACTGATTCCCCTGTGGTGGTCCAGCAGCACAACATCCCTCCACAGAAGTTTGTGCTTCTCTCTGCAAAGGTCAAAAATGTTTTCCCTCTCATTGTTGCACACACAATCAATCTTGTCAACCAAAACATGTTTTAATTCTGTATACTAAGTGTAGACTTCTTGCCGTCCTGCAGGGGAGTCATATCTTCCAAAAACTGCGGCCGGTAGACCAGCTCCGTCACCTGCTGGTGAGCTGTGCCGGAGGAGAGAGTGAGGAGGTGGAGCGTTTCTTCAAGCTGCACAGGGTACAAAGCTTTTTCCCTCCTTCAAATGTTTTGATCCCCTTAAACCGGAAAAAGATACACATGTTTTCAGGCTACGCACTGTAAGCCAGCAGTTGCACGACACACAAACATCATCGCTTAATGAAGGCCTGCATATACTGTATCAGGGTGTTTGTGGGGTCTTAAAAAGTATTAAAAGTTGATAAATCAATTTAGCGAAAATGTAAGGCTATTAAACTGCATTTTCCAAGGTATTACATTTTGTAGCTTGTTTTCAATAAGTATATAAATTGTCCAAAGAGGTTGTATTCTACAGTGTGCCTGAATGTAATCACTGCGTAGGTGTGTAGTGTGATTCTGTGTAGTTTATTTATGGCATCCCGTTGGATTTGACGTCATCTGAACAGGACATCGCACGTTCACTGCTTGATAGCGCGAAGGTCCGTTTACGCCGGTTGTTAAACAACATCGTTATGGGGAAATGCAAGTTTACGTCCAAATGGTTGGAAGATAAGGAGGAAGGACAATCAATACTGTATATAGTAAATGTGAGGTAAAGTGTCGCCAATGTAACCAGTTAGAACTCCAAGTGGCGATGAGGTCTTAAAATGTATGGAAAGGGTCTTAAAAAAGGTCTTAAAGGGTCTTACATTTGACTTCAGGATTCCTGCGTATACCCTGTGTATATATTTGAGTTGTTATTCATTTCTGTACAGGAGGAGCAGGCTTGTGGCACAGCACTGATCCTGGCCTGTTCCAGTTCCGCCTGTGACAGAGAGGTTTCACAGTGGGCCACCAGAGCTTTCTTCAGGTCAGAAAACATTTTTACAACATGCTCATATTAACAATCACTTGCACTGCACATACAATTAAAAGCAGTTCCTTTGTTGTTGTGGTGATCAGATATGGAGGGGAAGCACAGATGAGATTCCCAGCAGCCATGGGATCTCCGAGTACTGTTGGACCTGTGATGAGCTCTCCAGCACCAGGTACATTATAAATAAATACTGACTGTGGGAATTATAGATAAAGACTAAACGTAGAAGCTTAAACTCACTGTCTATTTGGGTCAACAGAATATACAAACAAAATGTATTTACATTTCAAACACCACATTTTGTAATACTTTTATGAAAGACGTGTGAGCTTCCTCTTACTCTGCCCTTAGGCATCGTGCCCCCAGCTTTGGCTTCACCTTTCACACCGATGCATTCTGGGTCGGCCCCCCTCACACCCATGACGGCTGGCCCAGAGGTGATCTTCTCAGGGAAACACAACGGCATCTGTATCTACTTTGCTCGCATTCTCGGGTAAGTAAATGCTGTCATTGGTTGTCACATCGACACATTATGAATCTGAAATATGTTCCTCTTCAGTCTGTATCAGCACTGATCATGTCTTTCTCCCCTGTTCCCTAACAGAAATATTTGGGATGGAAGTCTTGCTTTTGAGAAAACCGTGGCCAATGGGAGTCAGACTGTTACTATTGTGAGTATCCACGTATTTATTTAACAGTTGATGTTTTTAGAATAACGGTAGTAATGGTTCGATAACACTGCCTTTTATCCGTCGTCTCCACAGTTGGAAAGCAGCGTTAGTTCATTTGATCTGGAGTCGGTACTTTTGGAGCTCGGCGGTTTGAGGGAGTTTCTGGATAAAACTCTCAGTTCAGTCCCTCGGCTCTGGGTGCTGCAAGGTAGGAACTTTTACTCTACTTTATACGCCTTACCTCAAACTAAGGGTAATGTTGTTGATGGATTCTGTTAGTTCTCACACACGTCAGTGCACACATGTCCTGACACTCAGGTAACGTACAAGACTTACATCATGTAATAACAGGTGGTTGCGTTTCACTGATCAAAGCTAATAAGAACTACATCAATGTTGCATTTGTGTTGATATGAAAGCTTTCTCATGACTCAACTCATGGCTGATTATGTGGTTAACAATAATAAACATATTTACTCATTTCCTATTACTTCTACGTTGTCACTGTTAGTACTTACTGCATGAAAACTAGATCTGATCAAACTCTACTGAACAACATCTGTGCTGCTCCCTGTTAGTTTCAGCTCCCCTGCCAACCTGCAGCAAAGGCTGCTTGGATTTATGCGTCCTGACGGAGCCAACACTCAGCAGGTCCAGCAGGAACTCCAGAGGAAATTTCACAGTGAGTTATGAGGGCAGGTTTCACCCCTTTTTCTTCTGAATATTGGAAAGGAAGGATCCAAATCAATGTGATATATTTGATCTATAGGGAAAGAGTGAATGTGGATCTTTGACGTACTAACACAAGAAGAACAAGTTATTTATGTTTCTCTCTCGTTACTGATGTCTTTATTAATGTATCTCTCTATTTTGTTTCCGTTTCCAGCCAAGGCTCAGGTGTATGAGAAAGTGTCTCTGCAGGGCATCCAGCAGTTGGTGCATCGCTGCTACCAGACTCTGGCCCTCCTGAAGCTTCTCTGTGATCATCAGTTCAGCCTCATTATGTCTGAGCTGCCGAAGGTACATCCCAAACAGATGCTCATACATTATCTCTGCATTAATCATCCACCTAATACACGTCCATTTTCTCCATGGTTCCTCCTATTGCTGCTCACCCTGCCACTCTGTTTCTGTTTTCAGGAGTTTCAGGAGCAGATGAAGGCAGCAAGTTTTAAGGATGTAGTGATTCGGGGCAAGGAGCTGTCTGGAGCGCTCATCACCGCCGTCATTAATGTCTACATCAAAGATAACGCGTCTGTGGAGGCCATCAGCAATCACCTGCGAGACATCTGCCCCCTGCTGTACAGCAGCGACGACAGCGTCTGCTCCAAGGTACAAACATAATGTGTTACGGTTCATTAAAGGTTTTAGAAATACAATATATTCTTGTTAAAATGCACCGGATAAAGTAGGACATAATCAGACCTTTCTCCTTATCTTTAACTATTATAATTAGGGCTGTCAAGTTAACGCGTGAACGCAAAAAAAAATTAACGCCACTAATTATTTTAACGCGATTAACGCATGTGTATTTTTTGTCCTCGGCCGCCCCGTAGTTTCAGAGCGCATCGAGTTTAAAATACATTCTACAAGCTGATGCTGACAGCCCCGCTCCTGCTGCCCGCTTGCGGCAGACCACACTTCCACGCTCACCGGCAGGCACCGACTGGCTATTGGGAGGACCGGGAGGGTGTGTGTATGTGTGGCCCGAGCGAGCGAGAGAGAGACCTTACGTGCATTGTTGTTGTTAGCATCTGGTGCTAGCTAGCTGCGCTAACGGATATAAGGAGCTGTTTCAATGAAAACAGAGGAGCGACATTTCGCCGACAACTGCGCCGAGCACTTGACTTTATGCAGGAAGCCAGACAGTGGGACATTGTACGAGAAGTCAGCACACTCAGCACGGATAGTGCGCAACATGATTGCAGCGTCCAGGCAGCTCCCGTTCGAGCATATGCCTTGAGTTGCACATAGCTCCAACGATCCATCACAGTGTCTCTCTCCACACACACACACACACACACACACACACACACACACACACACACAACACACACCACACACACACACACACACACACACACACACACACACACACACACACACACACACACTGTATTGTATGAGAGAGGTTCCAAATTGAATTGAGGCGGATATTTTTAATGTTCAGAGGTTGTTATGTTTAATAGTCATGAGAATATTTGTCATTGATAAAATGATAATAAACAAACATTTGCATAAAGCATATTTGTCCACTCATATATAAGAGTATTAAAAACTTAAAATATCCCTCTAAGGTACATTTAGAACAGATAAAAAATGTGCGATTAATTTGCGATTAACTATGGACAATCATGCGATTAATCGCGATTAAATATTTTAATCGACTGACAGCCCTCATTATAATTGAATGACTACAAAACTACAAATTCTGTCTGTACAGTTCTTGCAAACTTCTGGATGCTTTTGGGTGCATCAGAGTCATTCACTCAATTTACACACGGCATCTATTGCACGTCTGTACGTCCTGGGAGAGGGATCCCTCCTCTGTTGCTCTCCCTGAGGTTTCTCCCATGTTTCCCTTTAAACTGTGGGTTTTCTCCGGAAGTTTTTCCTTGTACGATGTGAGGGTCTAAGGACAGAGGGTGTCGTATTGTCATACTGATATTCTGTACAAACTGTGAAGTCCACTGAGACAAATGTAACATTTGTGATATTGGGTTATATAAATAAACATTGTTTGATTGATTCAACGGGATTGATTTAGCAGCATTGATTCATGTGTCCTAATTTGTTGCTTTTGTCTCCCACTCAGGCGAATGAATTGCTGCAGAGCTCTAAGCAGATCCAGAACAAAGCCGATAAAGAGCGAACACTGAAGGAGTCTCTACGGCTCTATCAGCAGATCAGCCAACACACAGATCTGCCGCTCGTCTGCTCCCAGTACAGACAAGGTGAGGACACACAACACACACGGTAATGCTGTGATTAGTTTTTTGACACCAATACTAATGCTTTTTGTTAATTGTCTCAGTGCGTTTCTACGAGGGCGTCCTTGAGTTGTGCCTCACAGCAGCAGACAAGAAGGACCCACAGAGGCTGGGGCCCCACTTCTACAAGAACGGAGAGCCCGAGGAGGACGGGGCGGGACAGCAGGCCTTCCAGGAAAGGTAACGCAGGAAAGAAACGGCACCCAAATCAGCAGCGTTGAAAGCCATTTCCTTTTCATCACCAACATTTGTTCCCCCCGCCTCGGTCTGCTCCAGGCTTTGCTGTTATAAGTGCATCACAGACACCATGCAGGAGCTGGTGAACCAGAGCAAGGCGGCCCCTCAGTCCCCCAGCGTACCGAAGCAGCCCGGGCCTCCTGTCATGACCTCTGACCCCAACATGCTCAGTAATGAAGAAGCTACAGCTCATGTGAGTATAAAGGAGACAGTTGATGCTTAATTTTCACCACAGCAATGTTCAGGATCTGCATTATTAATGAGGATATGCCGTTTCCTTGTAGTTTGAGCAGATCCTGGGTCTGGCCCAGCGGTCTCAGGACGAGCTGTTTCACATCGCTCTGTACAACTGGCTGATTCAGGCCGACCTGACTGACAAGCTGCTAGAGGTAGGAATTCAATCTTGGTATTCATCAATTTCCTGTTTGTGTTTTCTATTTCCAGGCTTTTTTCCCTGCCTATTTTAATGACAAATCCCCAGACCTTTAAAAATGAGCAAATTATTCAGAGTTTATGACCCAAAAATCAACAACTTTTGTGTTTTCTAATGAATTGAGACACTTTCCTGTTTTTGTTTTTGTTGTTATTGCTTGCCATGTATCTTACAGCTGTCTTCTGTTGTCCAGGTGAATTCTCCGTACCTGGAGGAACATCTGATGCATATGATCAAGCAGGACCAGAGTAAGGTGCACAACATGGACCTGTTGTGGCGCTACTACGAGAAGAACCGTAACTTTGGCAAAGCGGCTCACGTACTCGCTCGTCTCGCTGACATGCACAGGTTTGTACTCCCAACAACTGGATAATACGTTTAATTCAGTAAGATTCAAATTAAATATCTCCAGAAATTAAATAAAAATGACACTGACATTAGACTAAAAAGATTCTTGATCCTTCTCTGATTCTGCAGCACTGAGATCTCACTGAAGCAGCGTTTGGAGTACATCGCCCGAGCCATCCTGTCTGCTAAGAGTTCCTCCTGCATCTCGGCTCAGGCGTCTGACGGAGAGTTCCTCCACGAGCTGGAAGAAAAGATGGAGGTACGTGTGTGGCAGTGATCACGCTGAGAGAAATCTAGGAGTGATCAGGCGTTGTCACCGCTAACTTTCTGTGTTTTCTTCCCAGCTGGTGCGTATTCAAGTCCAGATCCAGGACACCCTGATCAGACAGTACTCCCATCATCCCTCAGTGAAAAATGTCATCTCTCAGTTAGACTCTGAGCTCATGGACATCACCAAGGTAACACACACACAGCAGCAGCAGAATAATGATGATGAGGAGCTGGGGGATTAGGAAGATAAAGTGAAGGGAATATTTTATAAATGCTGGGTTATTGTTCTCCGATGTAGCTCTACGGGGAGTTTGCTGACCATTTCAAATTGTCCGAGTGCAAACTGGCCATCATTCACTGTGCGGGACACTCCGACCCAATCCTGGTGCACTCGCTGTGGCAGGAGATCATGGAGAAAGGCAAGTGACAAGTCAGCAGCTTCTTAAAATAGTACCCTTTCATTCATTCATTTTATTTATTCATTCAGATGTTTAAATAAAGATGCAAGTACAATTTACAATATATATAGAATGGAGAAAGTTCATGTGAACATTACAACCCAAAAACATACCCCACACTAACCTAAAACCCTAAAAACTAAACTACTCTAACCACAACTACTTAATGGTCTTAAATATTTATTTCGTCAGTCTAAACATTTGTTTCAAAAAAGTATGACGGTACACCTAAAAGCATTTCAGAGGAAAGTAAATGTGTGTAGAAGTCCAAAGCCATTCAGCGTGTTAAATCTGCAATTGTTGCTTGCAAATCCTTTTTAAATGCCTTTTATTAGCTGCATGTGTGAATGATTATTGTTTTGTCTCTTCTAGAAATGGCGGACAGCGTGGCCATGAGTCCAGCAGACAGGATGAGGACTCTCAGTTTGAAACTGGTCTCACTGGGAAGGATTTACGCCGGGACACCAAGATATTTCCCTCTGGGTGAGCATATACCTTCCTGTAATTATGTTCAATTTTCCCCTCGTTAGAACTTTCCGTCTCGCTGTTTACTACTTTGTTAACAGTAATATAATTAGACTTCCCCTTTGCATCATACATGTCACCATGTCTCAGGGGCACAGGCCTGCAGGGTCACGGTGATTGCCCTCTCGTTACTGACAACCTGTTCCAACCTGTCCTCTCTACGGAGACAATGATTCATTTTATATACACCCTGGGTACCTACTCCAGTGGTTCTCAAACTTTTTCTGTCAGGCCCCCCCTTTGGAGAAAAAAAAAAGTCGGCCCCCCCCCCCCCCCCCCCCCCAACACAAATAGTCACGTAATGGGCCAAGTTAACATTTATTAAAATACATCAATATGAACGTGAGCATTCCTTTGCTAGAACAGTGATAATAAAACAATGCTCCATAAGTCTGTGGTCAAATAAATAAATACATAATACAATTGTGCAATCCCTTTGCTAGAACAATAAGTTATAATACTTTGCCACTTTGCAATCTGTGCAAAAAAATGAAAAGAAAGAAAATGCTGATATTTTGCTAAAAAGTGTGTCTTATCAGCATTAGTGGCTGCAATGAGCCTGTTCTGCACTGCACATTTCTTCAAAACGGGGCTGCAGGCTCCGTGGCGGCGCCAGAGATTTATTTTGGGGGTGCTGTGGGGTAGCTTGACGTTTCATAGAGGGTGCTCAATCATTTAGGGTTTCCCATCAATGTACCGGGCGCTACAGTTGAATTGTGTACTGCAACACTCCACGCAAATTAGGGATGCCAGAGATTATTCGATTTTTCGAATATTCGTTACAGTCTCCATAATCTAAAATTATTTTTAAAATTCGATTTTATTTATATATTTTTGTATTATTATTTATGTTTTTCTTTTTTATCTGGCTTAGTTTCAACCAAAATATAGACTAATGCTAATAATAGTAATAGTATTAATAATTGTAAATGGCCATTGGTCACACCACCAGTTTGTTTTACTGTAAACTTGGAGGAAGCCAGCAGCGCAGGCTTCGCAGAGTGCAGACTGCTGCTGCCTGCTGCAGCCTGCTACACACCGACCCCGCCCCCCCCCTCTCCGTCACACGTGCGATTGATTTATTGGCGATATACAGAACAGTGAGAACAACACAACTAAAGATGAACAAAGCGGCACGTTCAAAGAAGGGTTCCTCGTGGAACTACTTCGAACTGACAAGTGCAAATTAAGTAAAATGCAAGCTCTGCGAAAATACTTTGGTCTACCACAGCTCAACATCAACAATGCGTTCGCATTTGAGTGCGAAGCATGCCAAAGAAGTGCCTACAGAGAAAGACGCAGCACAGCCGGCCATTACTAACTTCACTTCAAGGCCACGTCGTTGTGATGACAGGTCAAACTGACGGCGGCGAATAATCGATTAATATTCGCATGGGCTGTCCGATTTTCGAATTTGATCGTGGTCAGTTTCTGGCATCCCTAACGCAAATACACAGTGTACCCACGACTGTTACAATGAAGGCTCGATAATCAGCTCACGGCATATAGGTGTAAGCAGGGGTAAAGTGCTATTTTTACAAGTGGGGAGTGGAGCTAACATAAAGGGGTCCGGAAGTTAAAAGCATCAATCTGATGCACTTTGAGAGCAACATGAAGAGATCTATGGATACCTCTCTCAACACCATTTGAAACAGAACTGTAAACAGATTTACTTTTTCTTTATGGATATTTTACAAATCACTCCCTTTTAAACTTTTTTTTTTTTTTTACTGTCATACAGTATTTCATACCTGTTTTTCATTTATTCTCTTATTTTTTTATAACTATAATGATCATATAAACGTGTGCCTCGGCAATAATTGTTTACATTAATCTTGACCAAACAGTTTGAGACCCGGCCACTAGCTCGCTAGCACCAGAAGCTAACAACAATCTCCGGTACCGGTGCGGCGGTGCGCTCTCTCTCTCTCGCTCGCGCACACACACACAAAATGGCTCGTTCCACACACACACAGCCGAGCTTGAATGAAACACAGAGACCCAGACGTACTGTATCATATTATTTTCGAATCAATAATCTTTCAAAATATGATTTTTTTTATTTTTTTTTATTTTTTTAAAAAACATTTTTCCCCCTGGTCTGTCGCGCCCGCCCTGTCATGCCTCTGTGCCCCCCACTTTGAGAAACACTGACCTACTCGCATGGACTCAAATCAATTATGTGAATCCCAAATCCTTTCCCCCCCAGTGATGAACACTGTGCTCACATTGCAATGCTAATAAGTGTCGATGTCCTGTGATTTCAGAGTTCCTAGTGAAGTTTCTAGAGCAGGAAGTGTGTCGGCTGAACTGGGATGTGGGCTTCGTCACTTGCACCATGCAGGAGATCGGAGTTCAGTTACCGCGCCTCCTCGAGGTCTATGACCAACTCTTCAAAACCAGGGTACATGCTTAAAAAAACATTGTTTAAATCCATCCTTTTTTATAGTTTCGCTGAAATGCATGCACATGATTATAAGCAGCAGTTGTTGTTCTTGTGGACTGAAGACTAAATTGTATTTTATTGAATCCACCTTGGGGCCTGTAGGATCCCTGTTGGCAGCGGCTGAAGAAACCTCTCCACCTGGTGGAGTGTATCCACGTTCTTCTGTCAGGATACGTGGATGATCCCAGCAGAGTACCAACCTATGACAGGTAATCACTGCTGTTCAGCTGCTGGCCTGCAGTGGGTGCTGTAGTGTTTGGCTTTGTTGATCATACTGAGGCATTTTTTGCTATTTTCTAGGTATCACATCGTGTCTGTCAATCACTTTTGTGCTACCGCCAGCAGATACATTCAGTCAGTCAAACACACAGTAGATAGAAAAACTCTTGAGACAATACTCACAGGCTTGAATGTACAGAGAAAGGTTCATACATACATACTCCTGACCATTCAGGCTGTAAAGAAATGTGTTCCTAAAGCTATTTCAATGCAGGGCTCGACATTATAAATGGCCCGCTGTCCCGGAAGCCCTATTTAGACACCCCGGGCCAGCATAACGTACTTTCCACTTGCCCGCTCGGGCCACTAAAAATATTGTTTAAAAAAAAATATTTCCTGTGGTATTGATATTTTGACTAGCAATTTTGTTAAATTGTTTCGTTTATCAACGCTACAACATAGCGTTTCGTGAGTCGCTTGTCATTGTTGGGTGTAAAGCTAACAGCTGTTTGCTGCGGAGCGCAGCGCGAGCAGGCTCCCGTGAGCGGGAGCACGCTCCTTCACTACAGAATATCGCGCCACCTTACCATTCGCCAAATGTTTTTAATACCAGCGGTAACCGGCCAAGCGCCGTGCAAAAAACAATCTTCAAATAAAAGAAAGTCACCGGAGGAGTTAAAGGAGAGTGACAGGGAGCATGAGAAGAAGAGGGAGAGAAAGCTTCAGCCAGCTTGATCGATGGAGTTGGCTGCAGTGACGCGTCCTAAAACCCTTTTATAATCTATCGGTTAGATTTATGATTCGAAAATTATAAAAGTAGGGTAGACATGTGGAGATTATCCGGCTGAACAAAACGTGCATTTATCAAACAGGTTTGTTTTCCACAGACCTTATTTCCAGCTATTTTCCAAAACCCTGTGGAGAAATCCCATTACTTTTTGTCGAGGGAACCAGCAGCTTACTTCCTGGTTTTATGACGCGTCACTGGCTGCACCTCTCAATATGATGCCAATACAAACAAGGTCTTCTGTCGGCTCTGTACATCAATGCTGACCTATGCTGACAAGTAAGTGAAGAGTAGACGATATAAAGGTATTGGCTATAGGGAAATGTCCCAGCAGTTTAGGATAATGAAGGATCTAATCTAATCTATAGCCATTACATTTCTAACTCCTAATGACAGGAAGGCAGAAAGCGCATTATACAAATAATAATACTCATAATAATAGCAGAATCTTTTTAACAATGACCACAATATCATTATTTTAATAAACCAAATATGAACAATTGAGGAAAATGAGGAAGAACTGATTGTTCAAATGTTGTAGTAATGTAGTTAGTGCATAAATTACTATTGCAACAAATGTGTTAATTTTCTTCATTATTAATCGATTTTTTTTTTGGGACGAATGCTCCGGGCCAGTGGTTACAATGGTGGGGCCAGTGATAATACAATTCCACCGGCCCGGAGGAATGTCTACCCCTGCAATGTAAAGGATGGATAGTGATTTAAGTGCAAATTTCCCTACATTGCATCTCAGCTAGTAATCACTGCCTGGGGTAATACAAATAAGAAATACAGAAGCTTATAGTAGCATCAGCAAGGCAACTAGTGTGTTTTTAAACTGAGAAAACTTGCAATAAACCTACAGTAAACCCGGTTTAACAGCTTGTATTCCCTCCATTTCAGACGCCGGTTCACGAACGTGTGTCTGGACAACATCTGTGGATACCTGGTGGAGCTGCAGTCTCTGAGCCCCAACTCGGCCCTTCAACAAACCATCGGGAACTTCAAGTCCCTGCAGGCGAAGCTGGAGAAACTCCACTGACGCTAGCCATGCCGTTCTTCACGGGACAGGTGACCTCTGGATCTCGCACTGTTGGCCTTAATTAAACAGCTGATCGAGTTTGCTTCTTTTTCCCTTCAGTTTGATACGTTCCAGCTTAGCGAGTGCTTTATAACGGACTTTGGTAGCCGATAACTCTTAAGTCTTCTGATAAAGATGAGGGAGACCGAAGAAGTTTTATAACTTATTTAATACATTTTGTTCTAAGTCTAAACATTATGCTGAAATACAACTTGGTTATCTGCATTGTGTTCAAATAGCTAGGTCTAAAATATGGATGTCTAAATTGACAAGATATTTGGGTTTTCATGTATTGAAAAAGCAGTTATTGATAATGAATTTTTGATATCGTATGACTACCCTATGTAAAGATACCTGACCTAAGTCTTTTGATCACAGGGGAGTCATTCAGATTTTTCTACGTTACCTCCAAACAAAGTGATGGATGTTGTAATTATGTACATAACTTGGCCACAATGTCGTCTCTTCTGCCAAAGGTCATTCAAACAACTCAACATTTTTTTTCCATGTGTATCATTTACATTTTGTCTTTTTGGCTGATTTAAGTGATTGTTTTGAATGTAGAGCAAGTTTTTATCCCGGTGCAGATCACAGTGCTACACCGAAATCTTTGAAAAAAAACATAAAACATTTTTTATAAAGAAATGAAACTTGTCATGGTTTTTGTGGATGTTTTGAAAACACTAGGAAAACTAAACATTACGAACAATTAGCTGCAGAAAGGAGGATTTCATTGCTTTGGGTTTATTATGTGACTCTGCAGAGGGAGTGCAATATTAGACTTAATGGTGTCACTGTTTGTGTTCACACAATTATCTTTAATTGCAATGGGCACTCAGGACTTCTTACTGTCATCACCAACAGTGCAGTGTTTTCCTTCTTTCTCCAATTAGCTTTACACTCAAGTGCACAATTTGTAGCCTCATGAAAAAACAAAATCATTTTTACCTGATAGTGGGTTGATATATCTTAATAACAGTCAGTACACAAATACAAGAGCCAAAATATTGCGTACATCAGCCAGATTGGAAAGAAATGTCATCCGTGAGGAACTTTACATTTGTATAATGTCTTCATGCATCTCTGGGCACAACAGGTAGCTAGAATACATGAATGATATGTTCTCTTGTAAACTGCAGTGAGCAGCAATATTATATTTTCTAATCTTCACTACCAACATTTTGCATTGTGATGTCTTTATGTCTGAACAACAGTCCAAACCCTGAATATCCACTTAACCATCACATAAGAGAACGCAAAGCAGCAAATCCTTATCTCTGAAGAACCGAAACTAGGGAATGTTTGGTATTTGACTTAACAAATGATTTAGTTGCTGTCATTTTTCTCAAAGAAATGACTATACTGCTAAGCATTTCAGATCTAAAGTATACTGAAGGAAAAAAAGGAGATTAGCTACCAATTGGCTAGAACATTTGCACTTTACCCTGTTTATCCCCATCTATTTTGTTTCCTCAACAGCTAAAGGGTGTTTTAAATGATCAAATCTGATCATTTCCTCTGTCTGCGTTATACACATTTCTACCTTGTGCATGAGCAAGACAGTTTTTTCACTCCGTACAGGAATATGTAGGGGATGATGCAGGTGTAGGAGGCTGCTATATAGCTTGCCACCTCCTTCACTATGGGCGATGTGTGGATGTTGTTGGTGATGCGGAGCAGCAGATGAGTCACCCAGCAGACCACGAACACGCTGGCTACAGCCACCACGCTCTTGGCTGCCCTCACCTGAGCGCTTGGAGAGTTACTGGGCTTAGCTGCCATCTTGCTGGCCTTTGAGACCTTTGGTGGAGGTCCATCACTGCTGTCTGTGTTTGTTTCCTTTATGGGGCTGCTGTGACCCGTCAGGTCTCCATTTGGACCAGAAGGAGGCACGCCTGTGTAAACGAGTGTTGGAGAGTCTTTGGGATCTTTTGTGTTGCCTCCAACAGAAATAGTGCCGACTGATCTGTCATCGTTAATCTTTTCAACACTTTTATGTTTATCCTCCGCTATCGCCTTCGTAGCTTCAGAGTCATTACCTTGTACGCGGAGCTGGTTTTGAAACAAAGTGATGACAATCTGTACACAGGTACATACAATACCAGCAATAGGGAGAGCATTAGCCAGGGTGAGATAGAAGATTTCGTAGATTTGTGCGGCTGTTGCTTCAGGAAACATATCCTCGCAGTCTAAGTGGCTGTCATTGCCTCTCACCAATCCGACGTACATATAGTGTGGCACGTTGAAGGCCACAGCCACCGTCCAGCTCCCGGCCATCAGACAGCCCACCAAGAAGAGGTTGTCCAGCTTCACAGGGGCCCCTCCACGTTTCAGGGAGCCCACCAGCTTCTGGTGCCAGAAAACGCTGATGAAGAAGGTCGTCAAGATGCTGCTGGTTTCCGAGAGGTTTGCACAAAAACTAAACACTTTGCAGAATGTTTCCCCAAAGATCCAACGTCCAGCGAAATCTGCTATGGTGTCAGGGAGGTCCACCAGGTAGTTGGTGATGAGGTTGGAAACGGCCAGGTTGATGAAAAGGAGCTCGTTGGTGCGGATGCCAGATTTCTTCCCAGGCAGGGAGCGTATAGCCAGCATGTTGTTTCCCAGAATCCCTGCCAAACACATGAGTCCTCTGATGAGGGATTCAATCAGCTGTTCAGCATCCATGACTCACAGGATCAGGTGACACTTGAACTTCACTATACAGTCGACTGGTCTCACAGTTCTCTAAGCTTGTGATGTGTTATGGTATTTATAGAGGTAGGTAAGAAGCCAGGCCAAATCACTAGAGTTCAAGCATCTTACTATTGGTTTCCCTCAATGAGCTGTCATCATGTAGTCCCACTGAGACCATGACACGCCCTCCCAACGAGTTTACCCTGACTTACCCTAGTAGTGTATTATCTGAACCACAATCAATAACCCTGTAGTGTCAAACAGTTGTTTCTACACTATAATCAAATCAAGTTTTATTTATATAGCACATTTATAAACGATTTTTGGTCGAGCCAAAGTGCTGTACATATAATAATTTTAAAAAATAGGTTAGGTTAGGAAGAATTCCACCCTTATTATCTCACCAATCCGACGTACATATAGTGTGGCACGTTGAAGGCCACAGCCACCGTCCAGCCGTCAGACAGCCCACCAAGAAAAAGAAAAAAAGAGGTTAGGTTAGGAAGAATTCCACCCTTATTATCATCTCTGCAGTTCAGTTCTACTTCTTTGCATATGACAAAATGAACTTTGAGTGCAAGTGGGACCTTCATTTTTTTTTATGTGTGGAAAAAATAACTTCTTAACTTCCAGCTGCACAACGGGAGAGCCTATTAGTTCTATATGCAGCACCGCGTGGTTTTACACCCCGGTGGTGAGACAAATGCCTGATTTTCTTTCTCCTTTAATCCTCAAAACAAACATCTCTATCACACTACTGTGTAATGTGTATGCAATGTCTCGTCCCCCTTTTACATTTAACATGTTTCTGCGGTACGTTGGCACCACTTTCTCTTTTTGTTTGGTCTCTTTGTATAAAAGGTCATACAGGAGCAACTCAGGTCTCTATGGTGAACTTGTTGTCATTATAATCCATCAATGAATGCTCATGGGTTCCTTTTTTTCTCTCTCTTTTTTTTAAAGCCCCCTCTCTGTAATTGTGAGCACATCAAAAAAATACTTTTGCTAAAGTTTAGTAGTTTACTATTCTACATGTTAAATTACAATCATGGTATAAAAAAAATTCATATTTGAAAATAATGATAAATTCACATTTGGTCCAACTAGCATAATCCTCTCAATTGGGCCTTACCATTAAAGCTATTAGTTAAACATTAAAGGAAGTTTGTACCGGATACAATCAATAAGTGGTGATTTAGTGCTCTCGTAAAAAAAAAAGATCATATAATATTTTCTTATATTAAATGTTGCATGTTATTAATAACTTCTTGTTACTATGAAAACCAAAAGACATGGCTGACTATTAATTATATAACAAAAGAAAAAAGCTATCATTACTTCACAGCGGGGCTCTGGCTATGTAGTAGTGCTCCACGTGATCCATGAGTAAAAGCTCCACCTTTCGGATAAACCAGAGGCGGCATCTGCGCGGCTGCTGCCTGCGGGACAGACGGACAGGACGGCATGCGGGAGTGAGCTGTGCCGCTGCGGGCTTTCAGGATCTTTTTATTTTTTACTCCTTTTTCGACTATGATTTTCGCTTTCCGGCTGCCTGAGGTTGACGAAGGGCTCAGTCTGAGAGAAAGAGGCACACAAACAGGTCCTCGCGCGGTGCGTTCGCTGTCTTCCCGGTAGTATGAGGCTCTGATGAGACCGGAGAGGACAGGATGCCCGCCAGCGGCGCAGACTCCCTGAAGACCAGCGCCTTCATCCCGGTATGCACGGCCGCCGTCCTCCTGGTCGGCTCCACCTCCCTGTTCTTCGTCTTCACGTAAGTGCGACCCTACAAATGAAAAGTTGGAGACATGCATTGTTGGTTTGCGCAACAGAAAAAAATCATCCATCCATCCTGACACCCATCGCTGTTCATCCACCATGCATCAGGTACTCTTTCATTTAACGATGTCATTATTTGCATGTGGAAGTGGATTTTGAGTATAACATGTTGGTAATTCTCTTCTTTTCATGGTTGTAAGCAGAATATTGAACAGTATTTGACCCATTATTTGTGATTTAGTTAATTCTCAATAACCAGAAAGCTGCTATAGTAACTAGCATAATAACCATTTAACTATAAATGTTCAAAACAACCATTTCTTCCTCACTGACTTCACCCTGCTGGCAGACGGTATCTGACCTTGTTGGCTCTCAATGTGGGCTATCCTGGGTGCCTGCCCAGTGCACCCTGAGGACTCGGAGTAAGCACAGTTGAGGGGATAAGCCACCCACAATCAACATGTATCAAAGTGTCAATATGACCCACATGGGTAATATACATATAGCTGAAAGAAATCAATACTCTCTGGTGTGTGTCAAGATCAGAAAAGCTGATTTTAAATCTCAGTTTCAATACAACATGGTGATGAGGTGGTGAAATGGATAATTTTAGCCTCCTGTTTCTGACCTATTTGTGAGGAACTAGTGGGAGGCTGCACTAAAGCCAACGCTGGGATGCTGAAAACAATGAAACACAATATCCCATAATACCCTCGAATCCAATTTAAATGAGGCCTATAGGTTAGTCAGATTTCTCAATATTTAAAAAAGCCTTTACTTGTGTACATTCAGAAGCTAAAAAAACAGACCACTGTCACATTTGACAGTACCGTACTTTGGAAATGAAACCCCCTCTGACATGATATGACTTATTGAGAAGGCTCCCACCTCATCAGCTCTATGCTAGTCATCTGACCTTTGACCTCTGTAGCCATATCTGTCCTACTTTCTCCATGTTCTCCAGCAGTGCACCGTTTCCACTGGAAATCTGACACCAGATTGGGATTAGGATCCTCTTTTCATTGCCATGTGATCCCCCATCTGGAAAAAATGGAGGCTGGGGGTCATTGAATTCACTCTGCAGATGTTTACTCTTCCCTCTTTGGAAGGAATTTCACTATGAAATACAAGTAGTTTTAATCTTTTTTTCAGAAAGCTCCATTATCGTTCTCATATCTACCTTTGCCTTTCTTTATATATACCTTTTTTTATAGATATAACTATAGATAACATCAGGAATATAAGCCCTTGTTTGCTGGAAAAAAAATAATATTGAACAGAAATTGAGTTTAGTTTTTAAACATATCATTTGAGAAGTATATAAAACACTTTCTTTACTTTAGGGTAGGGCTGGGCAATAATTCTATAAGATCATTTATCATCTTTAATAAAATCATGTTGTGATAAAACCATACACATGAGACATTGTGATACAAAATTAGGCTGTCTAAACTAATAATAACAAGCACATACTCGCTCAAATTTCTCCGGAAATCTCAAATCTACTGCAAAGTTAAATCTAACTATTGTCTTGATCTTATTATATTTGAGTAATATTAGAAATTACTTAAAGGGATTTGGAATTGTCTTAATCCATTTGGAGCGCTCTCCATGTTCTAATACACAGATATTCACAGCAGCTAATTGCTTGGGTCATGACGCCTTCGGGTGGCAGGCTCACAGGCCAGAAAAGGTGGAGAAACCCGGATGAACCCACTCATTCTCAGCGAGAGAAACAGAAATCAATGACCTGCTGACGTGATGGATTGAGATGAGACTTCTTAATTGGGACTGGACTGCTTAACCAGCAAAACCAGGACACTGCAAATGATTGAAAGAACAAGTGATGAATCTGCTGCTTCTTATGGGACAAGGGTTGCAATCTAGCGCGACTGACTTTATAACGTTCTTAGTGTGATATATTAACCTTAAGGGAGAGTAATTTTTCCTTTATTCAAGAAACTGTACATGTCCATCAAACATTATACACAAACAAGAAATGTACTTCAGGGGTAGGACACATAGGTACATAAAGAGTACAAAAATATAAAGAATATAGTGATAAAAAAAGGTAATATTTCAAGTTAAATATTTATCAAATACACATTTGGTTTCATTGCATTCTTTTTTAGTAGTGGTGCCACATTGTTGTAATTCTAGGAAAATTGGGCAAAATTTGGTTTAGAGTCAGTCCATTTCTTCGTAATAGAATGTGTTGTATAAAAATAACAATATTTTTATCACACCCATCATCTCTAAAGTATATGTTCTCATCCTGAATTTGTCTCGTTTGTCCCGTTTATATTTTTCGAAAATACTCAACATCAGACCAAAACATTTGTACACGTATAATCTGACCAATAAGCGGTGTGATATCCTGTGAGTGTGCCCAGTCAGCAGCTGCAGACTCCTCTCCTCCAGAAGATGGACAGGTGCCACGCTCTGTCAACCTCGTCTCTGTAACACTGAGTCAAAGGGACACCGCTTGTCACCCGTCAAAACGTCACCTTGTTTTTACCCCCGGTTGCTGTGAATCATGGGAACACACATGAAAATCATCCAGCCTTGAGTCCTTTTTTTTGTCCCCTGATGCATCCTTTTACCCATCATTTTAATCATAAACCCTGCAGTCAAATAACGTCTTAGCCCTTTCATCTTATCATCCAATATTCATGCAGTGTGTGTGTATATGCGAGGGTGCATGCTTCCATTTCTGTTTCCACTGCCGGTTTGGTACAGTTACAAAACAACCTTTAAAAAGGCTCTTTTGTTTTCCTAAAATTCATCATCATTTCCTGCTTTTGTTCCTCTGACCGTGAACTGTTGTTTGGGTTAGTGCTCAAGGTTTTGTGCATTGTTAAACTCTGGTTCGCCTACGCCCAACAAAGACCACTGACATCAGAACGACCACAAAAATGTCCCTTGTTAATTAGGTTGTGTTTTGCTCTCGCTCAGAAAATGTATTTAGAATACAGAAATATGTAGAAACTAGAATAACTACACTTGTGCTGAAGCGTCCACGTTGAAACGCTGCAGACAGGAATGTTGTTCTCTGGATGTGACATGTTGAAGGGGAGCTGCAGGTTACATTGATAAACCCCTGAGTTCATTGAATTGAGCACGACTGTTTTTATTATCTCCGTCAGGAATAAGCCTGGTGGGAGATCATGCATTTAGTTGTGTGTGTGTGTGTGTGTGTGTGTGTGTGTGTGTGTGTGTGTGTGTGTGTGTGTGTGTGTGTGTGTGTGTGTGTGTGTGTGTGTGTGTGTGTGTGTGTGTGTGTGTGTGTGTGTGTGTGTGTGTGTGTGTGTGTGTGTGTGTGTGTGTGTGTGTGTGTGCATCTGTCTGCCTGCAGCTAAACTCGTATACTACTGGGCCCGTCAGCGTAATACTTTTTGTGTACGACTCATGGACCTCTTGTAGTAGC